AGGAGGATAGAAGGAGAATTGATGCTTTTGAGCTGTGGTGCTGGAGAATAGTATTGAATGTACCCTGGACTGCCAGGAAAACAAACAGATTCATCCTGGAGAGGGTTAAGCCAGGCTGCTCCTTGGAGACAAGGATTCTGAGGCTTCATCTGACATACTTTGGACATTTTGTAAGGAGGGAGAGGTCCTTGGAGAGGGACATCATGCTTGGGAGGGTGGAGGTACGGGCAGAAGGGGAAGACCCTCTATGAAGTGGATTGATTCAGTGACTGGGGTAATCAGGGTGGGTGTGTCAGAAGCAGTGCAATTGGCAGAGGATAGAGCAGAGTTTAGGGCTGTTGTACATAGGGTCGCTATGAGTTGCAAGCGACTGGACGGCACATAAAAACAACAACCACGACCTCTTCCAAATCCAGCCTGCACATCCGGCAGTTCTCTCTCTGTTGACAAATGTTTTTGGATAAATTTGGATAAATTTCAGCAGAGTCTTGCTTAAATGTGATATTAATTATATTGTTTGATAATTTCCACACTCTGTTGGGTCACCCTTCTTTGGAATGGGAACAAATATCAATCTTTTCCAGTCAGTTGGCCAGCTGGCTGTCCTCCAGATTTCTTGGCACAACTTAATGAGCACATCCAGGGCAGCGTCTGTTTGTTCAAAGAAATCAGTTGGTATGCTGTCAACTCCTGGAGCCTTATTATTTTCCAATTCCTTCAGTGCAACTTGAACTTCTTTCTTCATCACCATAGGCTCTTGCTCATATGTTATTTCATGAAATTCCTCTGTGTCAGCCAATTCCTTCTGATACAGTGACTTTGTGTACTCCTTTAATCTTCTTTTGATACTCCTGGATCATTTAACATTCTACCCAAAGTATCCTTAATTATTGCCACTTGTGGCTTGAATTTGTTTTTCAACTCCTTCAGCTTAAGAAATGCTGAGTGAGTTTGGCCCTTTTGATTTTCTGACTCCAGCTCTCTGCACATTTCATTATAACATCTTGCTTTGTCGTTCTGAGCTGCCTCTTGAAATTTTTTTTTTCAGCTCTTTGATTTCTTGGTTTCTACTTTTAGCTTTGGCTTCTCGGCGCTCTAATGCAATACATAACAACAATAACAACAACATATGCAAACCAATAAAAAAGGGGGGAAAGCATTATATGAACAGGCCTAAGAAATATACTAGTCTGACGGACAATGGAGAACATTCTTTTAATACTAGTTTTCAAAAATCACAGAAGTGATGCATTTTCCATTAAAAGTTAAAACCACACAGAAATCTAGAAAGTTGAGTTTCTTTTGCTTTTCTTTCACTGTTCTTGTTATTGAGTACCATCAAGTCAGAACCAACCCACAGCTGACCCTCCAGCAGGTTTTCAGAGGCAGTTGTTCTCTTGGGAGGTGATTGCCCATCTTTCTCCCGTCGAGCAGCTGGTGGATTCAAACTGCTTATCTTTGGGATTGCAATGCAGTTTCTTGCCACTAGGTCACCAAAGCTCCCTTCTCTTTCACTGTTGTTATGTACCATAGAGTCGCCTGTAACCCCTAGTGACCTTGTGTACAACAGCTGTGAAGCCTACCCTGTCCTGAGCCCGTCTCACTAACTCTGACACACCTATTCCCATTGCTCCATTTACTGTATTAATCCTTCTTATCCAGGGTCTTTCCCTCCTGGGTTGTCCTTTCACCCTTCGATGCATGGTGTCCTCCAAGGGGTGATCCGTCCCGGCCACATGCTCAGAGTATGTGAGATGGAGCTTCAAATTCCTAGCCTCCAAGGAGAGACAGACCTATTAGTTTTCTTGGTGGTCCATGGTATGTTCAAGTCTCTTCTCCAGCACCACAACTCAAAGGCATCAATTCTTCTGTCACCCTTAACCAATGTCCAGCTATCTGATGCATAGTAAATAATTGTCAAGACCATGGCCTGGATCAGGTGCATCTTAGACTGTCATTGTTGCATCTCTGGAGATGTCCTTGACAGCAGAAATTCTCAGTGCAATTCATCTTTTAATTTCCTACTGCTGGTGCCGAGAGTGTTGATTGTGGAACCAAATAAGCTGTAATTGTTAACAACCTCAATCTCTTCTCCATATGTCATAGTGCTGCCAATTGGCTCAGTAGTGAGAATCTTTGTCTTCTTGATGTTGAGCTTTAATCCATACTGAAGACTACAGTCCTTGACTTTCTGCAGCAAGCATTTCAGGTCCTCCTCAATTTCAGCAAGCAGGGTCGTTGTATCATCTGCATAATGTAGGTTTTTGAGGAGTCTTCCTCCAGTCCTCATGCCACCTTCCTCTTCATAAAGCCCAGCTTTCTAAATGATCTGTTCCATATATAGATTGAAAAGGTGTGGAGACAAGACACTTCCCTGACTTACTCCTTTCCTAATTTTTGAACCAGGCGGTGTTTCCTTGCTCTGTTCTGAGGACAGCTTCCTGGTCCAAGTATAGGTTCCACATGAACACTTTAGGTGTTCTGGGATTATTATGGCTTCAGAAAACCCTTTAGAGGATGAACTATGAGTCAGCTCTGACTAGAGAGCAATTAGAGGGTTTTAAAAAATTGTTTTTCTTATATATTCAGTTGCTTGTACCTGTCGACAATAAGTGATTCTTTGTTTACTTTACAGAATGACTGTGATGTGGAAAAGGGTACAGACGAGAAATTTGATGAAAATCAGCACTTTGATGTAAATTGTGGACCCAAAAGCTTTCCATGGACCAGGAAAGTCTATGAGTTCTACAGTGCACCGATTGTCAAATTTTGGTTTCATACGGTTGGTCTCATTGGAACAGTGATACATCATATTAATGACAGTTAATAAGATAATGAGAATGTTGGTACTGATAGGATTGAATTGCCAATTTGTGACTAAAAATGCTGAAGTGCAGTTAAAAGCCTGGTTTTTAACCAGGAGGATGAAAAAAAGAGGTAGAAAAAGGGTTGAAGGAAGAAGAAAAGTTAAAGCTTTGAGAATGAAAGGACAGGCATTTTCTTCTTCCTTGACTTAAGAGCCCAGTAAAACACAAGGTATTTGAATGAAAGTATAAGATCCAATGTACATGAACGAAGCACAATGCACATGAGCGATTGTACAGAAATCAACTGAAAAAGATAGACATAGCTTCTCTGGGACTGAGCATTTGAGAGTTTGTGGACCAGTGCAATTGACAAAGTGTGTGAGGCTTCAAGTGATAGATGGACTGATGATTTCTCTAGTTTGCACATGAAAATTAGCAGTTGAGTGAAAAGATTTTATTATGGAGATAATATGTAAATATCTGCTTTGTGAAAGTCTTCAAAACCTCTAAAATCACTCCCACTGCCAGTGAATCATTTCCAGCTTATTTATTGCTGCCCTGCAGGATAGAGCAGAATAGTTAATAGATAATGACAGTTGACAGATAATCAATAGGATGCCTAAAGCTATGAATCTTTACAAACATGGACTCCATAGCCTTTCTCTCTCAAAGTACTTCATGGGTTCAAACCTATGGTTAGCAATTGACTGTACTTTAAGGACTGCACCACTATGATTCCTTGTGCTTCTAAATACCATCAAACCAAAGCCAGCCCACTGCCATCAAGTTGATTCAGACTCATGGTTATCCTGTATCAGGTTTCTGAGGCTGTAAATATTTATGGGAGAAGACGACTATCTTTCTCGAGGAAAGCAGTTGGTAGATTCTAACTACCAATCTTTCCTTTGGTTAGCCTCCCAACACATAGCATGCTATGCTTCTTCAGCTCCTTATGCTTTTAGCTACAGAATAGTAAAACACATAGAAGTTTGATGGTGTGGAATAATATTAAATCTGGTTTGCATTGTAGAGATAACAGAAAGCATGAACTGGCTTGAAATGTATTGGATGCTTTCCACATTTATTTAAGAAGCATTTAGTTTGTTAATGGTTAACTGCACTAAAATCACACATGGCCTAGATTTTGTATTTCTGAACATCTAAAGTATGAGTATACTTATCCAAACATGTTATTTTAAAAAAATTTACCATGCCAACTGCACACTTAACTTCACATGCTTATTCAAACAGCTCTTAATTAAAAAAAGAAATATCAATTTCAAAAGTTAGATCTTCATATTCTTTAGATTTTACTGCTCTTGCAGCCAAATAAATATGCAGTCAAATATACAAAGGCTCTAATAGTAGCACCAAAAGTACTTTAGCCATGTCACACTACTGAGGAAAAAGTATTGATCTATTTCTTTCCTTAGGAAATTCCAGCTTAAGGGCTATTTGAGAGGAGCAATGCTCAGCAACAGAGCAAACCCTAGATCCACTCACCTTAACAGATGAGGTTAGCAGTGAAAATGGGCATTTTAACCTCATGTATACCATTTCTAGAGTATGGCATGTGCACTTTATTGAAGCGATGTCTTGCTATAAATATATTAGAGATTAAAAGTAAAAATACAAACATTTTTGGGTAAAGTTTTTAGGTATTAGAAATAACACCACAAAAGATCAGAAGCAATCACCAGTATCTACAGTGTTTTTATGAAGCTTAATGACTAGATATGAACACCTAGGTTCACCTAGTCTTGTTATCTCTCCAATTTCATCTTATAAACTACCTTATAAGACAGAGTAGAGCTGCCCCATAAGGTTTCCAAGGCTATCATATTTGTAGAATTGGCTGCTATCTTTTCTTTGGTGGAAAAACTGGCAGATTTAGTTAGCCAGTCAAGCACTTAGGTAAACACTATCCCATTCAATGAGGTTCCTTGGTCTAAGGAATAAATTGACTTAAACCACTCTTCAGTAGCACGATCATTTCACAAGTAAGGAAACTTAGTTTATTAAGATATAATTTACCGATTAAATGTGTTGTCTTTTACTTTAAAGTGTGCCATATTTATACTGGTATGTATTATGTATAAAGCTCTGGTCACCCAGTGGGTAAGGAGTTGCATTGCCAACCAAAGGCAGACAGTTTGAACCCACCTGCTGCTCCATGGGAGAAAGACAGGCACTTGCCTCTCCTGAGATTTATGCCTTTGAAAACCCTCTGGAGGCTCAGCTGTGAGGTGGTTCAAATGCGATGGCACGTAACAATGGCATACATTACACGCACTGAAAAGAAAGCATTGCTGAAGGCTGCATAACATTCAGATAATTTGATAGTTTTGGGGAGCTGACTGCTGTCTTATGACAAAGCACTCTGTGTCAGTGGGGTGGGAAGCAGGGATGAGCAAACACAGGGCCTGACCTCAAGCAGTTTGTGGTCTGGCAGGGGAGAAGGCTTTGCATATAGATGATTCTAATATAATACATAGTTCACAAAATAGAAAATGAAAGAAGTCCAAACAAATGGATAAATGCCTTAACATCTGCTACTGTGTACAAGTTAAGTAGTCACTTGTGTGTTCAACATGAAAAACAAACAAAATATATGTAACAAAAGACTGCTTATAGAGCAAATTTGTATAAATTCTATCTCTAGAGGTTCTAAAAAGAGGATTAATTACATTTATCTTACTTTTTTATTCACTTCTCTAGTATAGCTCCTTAATTCATAGGCAATAAGATCAACTGCGGTTGTCTGAAATATTATTCATAGTTTGTAATTTATTACTGTGTAATAGTGTATTAAAGCCAATTCTCATGTTATCTGCAAGGCTAGTCAAACTTATCAAGAAGCAGACTTACCAAATTAGGTAGGGTTCACAAAGATATCACAGTATTAAACTTAAATGATTATATTTTGTGTATGCGTGTGTACACACACACACACACACACACACACACACACACACACAGAGTCACATACATACTCAAGTTTCTACTACTCCGAGATTTTTAACCCAAGTGCTCATCAATGAGTCTGATGTGTTGTTTGAAGCTATTTAAAGGAATGCCACATCTCATGCATTGCTAATCAGTAAAGTCTTCTGGTCGCAATTTACTAATATGTGCCATAGCTTTAAATATGTTTACCCAGCTAATTTAGTTCTGAGAAGTTATCTTAAGAAGATAAGAAAAAAAATGAGACATGATTACAAAACTATTAATCACTGTGTATATATGTGTACCTTTATGGAGATTTGATTGTTTGAGAGATTGGCAATCCAGGTATTACACATTCAATTAGTAATTAAACATTTGTCAAGATAAGAATGTCAGCCCACAGTCCTTAACTGCAAGGGCCTCATAATTGAGCAATTTTTTCCTATATTTTTTAAATTTTTTATTTAAATAGCATTCAGTTTATTACAAATATTTAGTATTGGCTTCCCATATTTTCCCCCTTTTGTTTTTATCATAACTATGTTATCATCTAGATGAGCATAATTTTTTCCTATTTATCAAGATAATGGGAATCATCATAAAATGCCCCACAGTAGTTATATTTGAAAGTACACACCTATTGAGATTGCTCACTTGGTTGACTTGGCACTGGTATTTTATGTTTCACATGGAGGGGAAGGCACGTGGTTAGCACCTGATGGTAGATTCTGCACAGTCTGGTCAGAAGTCAACAGGATGAGAGTGTCATCATTATTTTTGCCATTAAAGTCTAGACTAGAAATGCATGAATTTCCTTGCTATTGGCCTGCCCATGATCAGAGTGTGGTCCTCTTTACACTTTCATGTTTGTGTGTGTGTGTGTGTGTGTGTGTGTGTGTGTGTGTGTGTGTGCTGCTTCTCAGCCTGGTCTCTGTCTGCCTGGCCTTCTCCAGTGTTCCTCTCACTCACCTTTAGGGAATGTGTGTATCCCCCTCACAGATGGCTTATTTGGCCTTCCTCATGCTGTTCACTTACACTGTGTTGGTAGAGATGGAGCCCCAGCCCAGCACGCAGGAGTGGCTTGTTATCATTTACATCTTCACCAATGCCATTGAGAAAGTCAGGGAGGTGAGTTGTCCCTCGATGGAAGTCAACAGGTTAAGGGTGGGGGTGGACTGGAAGGACTGGTGCTGATTTGCATGATGATGGTGTTAGTTGCCATAGTACTAACTCCTGCTTCTGGTGACTCTAGGTACAGAAGGAAGTATAGCTTGATACTACACCATCTTCACCATCCTTGTATACGTGAGACAATTGCACGATACAGGAAGGTCATCTGGGGGAAATTCCCTGAATCAAAACCCTTTATCTTTGCCAAATACTTCTTTTGCTGGCTACTTTTCTTTGGAAGTGGTTATTTTAGAAAATGTCTTAGAATAGGTGTTTTTTTCTTTGTTTTGTTATCTTCACAGGAGACATATTATATGCTTATCTGTCCTAGAATGATATACAGTGCTATCTGGTTATTATTATTAGATCCTCCAGTGATTTGATTCCTCACAATTGTTTGGGGTTTTTTTTCTGATTGGATTAATTACTATACCTCAATGTGAAAATATTATTAATTTTATCTCATTGAGTAGCACAAAAATGGCTAAAGGTGTACAATATATAAACCAAATCAAATCACACCCACTGCCATGGAATTGATTCTGACTGTTAACCACCTCCAAGGCTGTAGACCTTTAAGGGAGGTGACGACTTCATATTTCTCCTGAGGAATGGCTGGTGGATTTGAATTACCAACCTTTTGGTTGGCATTCCTACCAGTTCTGTATCACAAGGGCTTATTGATAGATTTTCAAAGATCTTACTAAAGATCTTACTTTTGAAAGTTGAAGTAGAAAATCCTTTTAGGACAACTTATCTGTGAAACAAAACAAAACTCTCATTTCTGCTTTGCAATGAGTTGCTTAAAAAAAGATTTTAACACTTCTATGCAGTTTCAACTGCAGTCACACACAATTATGACTTAAAAGGTTTTGGATGTCAGTGTACATGTCTTTCTTTGTCTGTGTGCTTATTATACACATTTATTTTGTCCTAGAGCTTACCTGGCCAACATTATTATTACTATGTATTATTATAATTACCATTATAATACATGAAATAATACTACTATTACTAAATATAGTTATTATTATTATTGTTATATTGCCTAAAATTTGCTCTTAAGCACTTCATAGGTTGGAGAAAACAATCCAGGAGAGAATTATCATTTGAATTCTCCCACTTCTTTATGTTTAAGAGAAAATAAATTTACTAATTTTGTGTTTCAATTTGTCTGGTATCTTGTAATTTCTTACAATTGTGAATTCTAATATAATGTTCTTAGAAATTCTCCAGCAGCTCACTAGACAACAATAATAGGATTATATTGCAGAATGCTTTTATTTTCACCTTTGAATGCTACTCAGCCTCATGAAATGGAAATGTAACCAAATAGATTTATTGCCGTACTGAACATGTTAAAACATTTCCCTATTCTCCTTTGTAGTTTTGGGTTAATGAAGTGTAGGAAAAGGATATGGTTGTTGTTACTGTTTAGTCTTCCAGTTGAGTTCTGAAGTGGCTGAGTATACTTGGTGACCTAAGTATATACTTACAGAATTATTTACATAATTCATAACCTGAGGCTAGCCAAAGCCTTGAAAAGCTTCCTGACCTAAGGTTTGGAAGAGTTCATATTACTTATTAAATGAAGTGTTGTTATATTGAAGAAGATCATATTGCTTAGCCTCTGGGGTTATACTTCATCCTTTATGTCCTTCTCTGTCTCTCTTCTTCTAGGTCTGTATTTCAGAGCCTGAGAAGTTTACTCAAAAGGTCAAAGTATGGATTAGTGAGTACTGGAACCTAATGGAAACTGTGGCTATTGTCCTGTTTTCGGTTGGTTTTGGCCTTCGGTGGGGTGACCCTCCTTTTCACACAGCAGGAAGACTTATCTACTGCATAGACATCATTTTCTGGTACACGCAGCTCCTGGATTTCCTTGCTGTGAATCAACATGCAGGTCCCTATCTGACCATGATTGCAAAAATGGTGAGGCAGTTTGGTTTTATATCCTCGTGTCCTTTTCAATGGTTATAAATAATAAGGTTAACATTCAGCAGTTTAACTTTTGAAATTATTTATGGAAGTACAGACAGATCTTTTCATCAATATTTTCCTTACAACCACACCTTAATACTTAACAGATGTCCTTGGACATTTGATCATGACACTCAGCTTATTCTTTTTTTCTTTTTTTAGGTATATTATATATATATATGAATATATGATGTGAGACTCAAGGAGCTCTGGTGGCTCAGTGGGTAGGGAGCTGTGCTGCCAGTTACAATGCAGGCAGTTCAAATCCATCAGCTGCTTCATTGGAGAAAGCTGGACAGTCTCTTCCCATGTGATCTGGTGGTAGTGGTGGTGGTGTGTACCATCAAGTCAGCACCAACTAATAGCTGCACCTCCAGTGGGTTTTAAGAGACAGTAAATTGTATAGGAGAGATTGCACTTCCTTCTCCTGTGATTTAGCACCTTTGAAAATCTGCTGGAGGATCAGTTCTGAATCGATTCCATCTTGACAGCAATGAACAACAATAACAATGTTATGGGATTCAGGGTTAGAGGTGGGTAAGTGGCAGAATTACTGCTTTTTGTACAGGAGGCCTAGGTTTTATTCCTAACCAATATAGCTCAAATGCAACCACTGTCAGTGGAGGCTTATGTGTTGCTGAAACAGTTTTAGTGGAACTTCCAGACAAAGATGGACTAAGAAGAAAGATCTGATATCATACTTCTGAAAAATCAACCATGAAAACTCTATGGAGCTGTAAAAGGAGCAGTTGTAACATGAGGAAGGCTGAGTCTGAGTTTTCTCCGCTTCATAAAGGGGAAATGTGGCCATCAATAATATCTGTAGTACCAAACAAATAGATACATGATCAGACATACCCCCTTCCCCATGCTTCTGTACTTATTTCTACCAATTATTGGGTCCAATGTTTGCTGCAATTTGACTCACAGACTTTACTCACAGTTGTGGGGCTTATTAGGGAAATAGGTTGGGTGTGGGAAGGCAAAGAATATCATACAATGCAAGTACTGGTTTAATCTAGCAATCCCAAGCCAGATTAATAAGTCACAATTTCTCAATTAACAAAAAGTGCAGGGTCAGCCAGCAACACAGATGCACCTCTGGTTTCCTCAATCATCCAGCGAACTATCTCAGAGCAGTTAAAAGTCAGCTTTGCCTTGAGCTGTTCAGCAAGCAAACCATTAACTGTGTCTCCATCTCCAGGGGTCCTCTGGTTATCCCTTGTCACAGTCTCTTTACAGCTATGCCACAATCTCTTCACCCTCACTCCAGTATCATTTATCACACTGTGGAAAGTATTCACTTATTGATCCCACAAGCTGTTGACTATTTGCGAGACCATGCTTCCACAGTTAAGGTAGCTTGAGATCATGCTCCCTATGGGGACTAACACAGTGACTAGAAAAGCCAGTTATCAAGGGTTTTGACACTACAGGAGCACACTGGTTTGAGCCCATTGTGTATGGAACTTACATTTATTGGGAACTGACAAAATAGCTAACAACAATACAAGATTGAACCAAATTTATCTTTGAGTGCAGCAAGTCTTGAGGGTCAGGTTTGTGATCCACAACAACTGTGAATATATTTTCTTAAGTATAGTTTAATTTTTTTCTTTTGTTCTTCCATGCATCCTTATAAAAGACTCTTACATAGTATTTACTATGGTCCATACATTGTTCCAAGTCCTTTACAGTAAACATGAACTCATATAATCTTCAGTACATCACTGTGCTTAAAAAAAAAAATTCAAACTCATTGCCATCAAGTTGTAACTCACTCAAAGCTGATCCATCCAGTGAATTTCTAGGACTGTAAATTGCACAATAAGAGATCCCCTTAGAACCTTTAATGGATTTGAACCACCAGAGAGGTGCAGTTTTTGGGTTGACAGTGCAGCTCCTTACGGACACACCACCACAGGGCTCCCTAACATCTTTATAACACGGAATTATTATTTTCCATACTTTACAAACAAGGGTGTGGATGCTAAGTACATTTTCATAGGCATATGTAGGGAGCCAGGACTCATATTTGGGCCAACTGGTTTCAGTCTGTCATCTGAAAGGGCTGCTTTTGTGGTCAGCCTTCCTCCTCTGGCCCTGTGTGAGGGTCTGAGACCTATGCTATGGGAGGGACAGCATGTCAAGATCATCTGCAGTTTTCCCTTTGAGAATACCCACTAACTGGGAAGGGACAAATTATTAAAATGCAAAGTAGTGCTGAAAACAGGGAGAAGATAGAGGAGAACCTCCAGGACTTTGTTCTTTCTTTACACTTCTCTTAGACTAGAAATGCTTTCTCTAGTTTTAATGACCTCGGATAATTAAAGTGTGTGTCAGGGTAACCAATATTTCTCAGCAATTTAGTATACACGATTTCTCCTTCACACAAAATTTTATGAAAAGTTTTATTTACGAAAATTTTATGAAAAACTTAAGGTGATGCCCTTTCAGAAAACAGACTACACTGCCTTTATTCTGGGTGGATTTGAACTGCCAGCCTTTTGGTTAATAGTCAAGTGCTTGGGTATTTATGACATCTAGGGATTCATTCTCATCACTTTAAGATCTAGAATCTATTCCTCATGTTAAGTAGCGATGCCAGCATGTGACTGGTCTCCAAGTTTGTCTGCAAAGTGACAGAAGTCATTGTCACTTCACACCCTTGTGCTAGAATAGTCCAGAGTCTGATAGTCCTAGTCTAATTGGAGGAAAGATGAGAAGTGTGGAGAAGAGGTCTTTTAGGTGGTTTTAATTTTAAGCTATCTTGTGAAATTATGCTTGTGCTGTGCTATTTCACAGACAGCCAATATGTTCTACCTAGTCATCATGATGGCCATAGTCCTGCTGAGCTTTGGAGTATCACGCAAGGCCATTCTTTCTCCAGAGGAGCCTCCATCTTGGACGCTAGCTCGAGATATTGTGTTTGAACCATACTGGATGATATATGGAGAAGTTTATGCTTCTGATATCGATGGTGCGTATAGGGTTTTCTGGGGGCAGTGGAGGTTCAGTGTTATGTTTGCCAATTTCCATGTAGGAGACCTGAGTTAGAGTCTCAGCTGGTGCACCTTAAGCACAGCCACCACACATTTACCTGAAAAGACTTTCATGTTGCTATCATGTTGAACAGGCTTGAGTGAGCTCCCGTCCCAAGATGACGTTGTTATGTGCCGTTGAATCGACTCTGACTCATCGTGACCTGATGTACAAGAGCTCTGAACCCTGCTCTGTCATGAGCTGATTTCATCGTCTCTGACACATGTACACCATCACTACAGTTACTGAGTCAGTTCATCTCATCCAGAGTTTTCTACTCTTGTGCTGTCCCATCACCCTTCCAAGCATGATGTCCTTCTCCAAGGACTAGTCTCTCCTTGCAACATGCTCCAAGCATGTGAGATGGAGCTTCAAAATCATTGCCTCCAAGGAAAAGTCTGGTTTCGCACTCTCCAAAACAGACCTGTTTGTTCTCTTAGAAGTCTATGTTATATTCAATTCTCTTCTCCAGTACAACACAAAGGTGTTTGAGTCTTCTTCTATCATCCTTAGTCATTGTCCAGGTTTCTGATACATAGCAAGTGATTGTGAAGACTATGACCTGGATCAGGTTCACCTTAGTCTTTGGACTAATATCATTGCTCTTCAGTACTCTGGTGAGGTCACTGACAGCAGATTTTCCCAGTGCAATTAATCTTTTGATTTCCTGGCTGCTAGTACCAAGACTGTTGATTGTTAATCCAAGCAAGCCGAAGCTATTAACAATCTCAATCTCTTCACTATCTATCATGATGCTGCCACTGAGCCCAGTGGTGAGAATCTTTGCTTTCTTGATGTTCATCTTCAATCCATATTGAGGGTTGTAGTCCTCGACCATTTGCAGCAGATGCCTCAGTTCCACCTCAGTTTCAGCAAGCAAGATTGTTTTGTCTGCCTAACGCAGGTTGTTGATGAGTCTTCCTCCAATCCTGATGCCACATTCCTCATATAGTCCAGCCTCCTGGATGAACTGTTCTGGATATAGATTGAAAAGATAAGGAGATAGGATGCATGCATCCCTGGCATATACCTTTCCTGATTTTGAACCATACAGTGTTTCTTTGCTTTGTACTGATGACTCTCTCCTGATCCAAATATAGGTTTTGCATAAGCACAATGAAGTGGTCTGGGATTCCCATTCTTCTCAGAGTCAGCCACAGTTTGTTGTAATCTACACAGTCGAATGCCTTTGCATAGTCAATGCAAAAAAAAAAAAAATTAGACATTCTTCTGGTACTTTCTTCTTTCAGCTAAGATCCATCTAACATTGGCTATAATGTTCCTAGTGCCACAGACTCTTCTAAACCTAGCCTGCACATCTAGCCGTTCTCTGTTTTGGATAATTTTTAGCAGGATCTTGTTTGTATGTGATGTTAATGATATTGTTCGATAATTTCCATACTATGTTAGGTTACCTGTTTTTGGAATGGGAATAAATATGGATCTCTTCCAGTCAGTTGGCCAGGTGATTGTCCTCTATATTTCTTGGCACAATCTGGTGAACATATCCAGGGCAGTGTCTGTTTGGTGAAATGTGTCAATTGGTATGCTGTCAATTCACGGGGCCTTGTTTTTTGCCAATTCTTCAGAACAGCTTGAACTTCCTCCTTATAGACTTTCTCTTTTTGTATACTTTATACGTATGTATGAATACTTTTTGTATGCCACAGGCATAGGAGAACATTGGCCTTCCTTCTCCAATGAAACATCTGGTGGATCCGAACCACACATCTTTGGGATTGCAGCACCATAGGCTCTTGATATGTTGTTTCATGAAATTCTTCTGTGTTAACCAGTTCTTTTTGGTATAGTGTCTCTGTGTACTCCTTCCATCTTCTTTGATGCTTCCTGGATCATGTAGAATTCTGCCCACAGCATTCTTAAGTACTGCAACTTGAAGCTTGAATTTGTTCAATTCCTTCAGCTTAAGAAATGCCGAGCAAGTTTCCCCTTTTGATTTTCCAACTCCAGCTCTTTGCTTGAGTAACATTTAATATTTTATTGTAATACTTTGTCTTCTCACGCTGCCCTTTGAAATCTTCTCTTGAGCTTCTTCACATCTTGATTTCTTTCCTTTGCTTTGCCTTCTTGGCATTCTAGTGCCGTATTCAGAAATCTATTTTGGCCTTTCCTCTCCATCTTTGTCATGACCTTTTGCATTCTTTATGGATGGTATTCTTGATTACCTCGTGTAGCTCATCTGGTCTTTGCTCATTGGTATCCAGGGCTTCATACCTGCTCCTGAGAGTTATTTAAACTCAGGAGGGTTAGACTCAGGGTCACACTTTGGTTCTTGTGGATTTGATTTTATTTTCTTTAGCTTCAGTTTGAACTTGCATATGAGTAGTTGATGATTGGAACCATCGTCCACACATGGCCTAGTTTTCACAGCTGATATTTAGCTTCTCCAACAATTTTCCCCACATATGTAATCAATCTGATTCCTATGTAGGCTATCAGATGAAATCCTGATGTATAGTAGCTGTCTGCATTTCTTATAAAAGGTATTTGTAATAAATAAATAATTGATGATTGTGCAGAATTCTATCATTCTGTCTCCAGCTACATTTCTGTCACTATGTCCATGCTTCCCAACTACCAATCCTTCTTTTTTTGTTCCTAGCTTTTACATTCCAGTCACCTGGAATTGTTCCTAATACATCTTCATTGCATTTTTGCAAGACTTGGTAGAAGTCATCTATTTCCTCCTCTTTGTCTCTGATTGTTCATGCATAAATTTGAATGATAGTGGTATTAACAGGTTTTCTTTGTATGTGTATGGATATTATCCTCCCACTCGCAACGTTATATTTCAAGATGGATCGAGAAATGGTCTGTTTATGAAATTGGCTCTGGTTTTTCTTACCTTTTCATTTCCAGGATAGTAGATTATAATTTTTGTCTGATTCAAATTGTCCCATGGCAATCCATTTCATTTCACCAGTGCCTCGTATATCAATATTTATGTGTTCCATCACATTCCAATTCCATGTTCCAACAACTAGGTTTGTTTTCAACTGCTCCTCCTCCTCTGTGATTCCCAATAGAAAGGCCCATCCTCTGGTGCCATATGGTTTAGTTTAATCTAAGATGCTCTATTGTACGTAAGATTTTTGAAGACTTGTTGTTTTGAAAGCGGATGGCCCAGTCCTTCTTCCTAGTCTGTCTTAATTTGGGTGCTCAGCTTTAGAGCAATATTTGACAGACAAGCATTTCCCCAAAAGAGCTGATGAGAGTATGCAGGTAATAGATCAGGTGTTGGCCCTGGAGCCCCGCCCTTTCAGCGCATGTGCTATGTTCCTGCTCTCACCCTGCCCTGCCAGCATCCAGCTCAATTCCCCCTCTTTTTCCCTCCAGCATCTCCCATTCCTCTACCCCAACTCTGGTTTGATGGTTCAGGCCTCCCATCATCTGTGTCTTCCCATTTCCTCTCCACTCCCCTGTGATACTAGTGTTCCTGGCGTGGGAGTTGCAAAGGAGGGGCGGGGCAGTTTCCACACGGGAAGTCGAAGTGGGGTGGAGGGCGGGCTCCACACACTTCCATGCACTGAGGCCCCGCGTGCACTGGCTCAAAATAGTTGTTGTTATGTGCTGTCAAGTCACTTGCAGCTCATAGCGCCCCTATGTACAACAGCTCTGAACCCTACTCTATCCTGTGCCAACCTTTCTATCTCTGACACACCTACCTCCATTACCCCAGTCACTGAATCAATCCATCTCATCGAGGGTCTTCCTTTCTCTCCACCTTCCTACGTGTAACATCCCTCTCCAAGGACTGGTCCCTCCTTGCAACATGTCCACAGTATGTCAGGTGAAGCTTCAGAATCTTTGCCTCCAAGGAGCAGCCAGGTTTCACCTCTCTAGGATGAACCTGTTTGTTCTCCTAGTATTCCATGATATATTCAATACTCTCTTCTCTAGCACCACAGCATAAAGGTTTCAATTCTCCTTCTATCATCCCTGATCATTAATACTATATATCATTAATAACCCATGCAAGCACTATTCTGCTAAAGATTGCCCAAAAATGACAGGAACAGCACATCAGCAGAGAACTGCCAGAAGTGCAGGCTGGGTGTTGAAGAGGCTGTGGTACTAGGGATATTATAGCTAATGTTAGATGGATCTTGGCTGAAAGTAGAAAGTACCAGAGGGATGTCTATCTGTGTTTAATTGGCTATGCAAAGGCATTTGACTGTGTGGATCACAACAAACTGTGGCTGACTTTGAGAAGACTGGAAATCCCAGAACATTTGATCATACTTATGCAAAACCTATACTTAGACCAGGAGGCAGTCGTCAGAACAGAGCAAGGACACAATGCATAGTTCAAAATTGGGAAGGATGTATGCCAGGGATGTGTCCTGTCTCCATGTCTTTTTAATCTATGTGCAGAATAGATCATCCATGATGCTGGACTCTGTGAGGAGGCATGCAGCATCAGGATTGGAGGAAGACTCATCAATAGTCTGCATTATGGAGATGACACAACCCTGCTTGCTGAAACTGAGGAGGACCTGAAGGGCTTGCTGCAGAAGGTCAAGGACTACAGCCTTCAATATGAGTTGAAGCTCCACATCAACAAACCAAAAGTTCTCACCACTGGGCTGAGTGGCAGCATCATGATAGATGGTGAAGAGATAGAGATTGTTAACAGTTTTAGTTTTCTTGGCTCCACAATCAACACGCTTGGTACCAGCAGCCAGGAAATTAAAAGATGAATTGCTTTGAGAAAATCTTCTGTCAGAGACCTCTCCAAAGTACTGAAGAGCAATGGTGTCAGTCTGGAGAAGAAGGTGCACTTGATCCACGTCATAGTCTTTGCAAATGCTTGCTATGCGTCAGAAAGCTTGACAGTGACTAGGGATGATAGAAGGAGAATTTATGCCAAGTCAAGATAATTTAGGAAAATATTGTCCTGGCATCTACTTATGGTTAATCAGCCAGTAAAACCCGTTTGGTCCTGTTGTGTACAGAGTTGACTCAATAGCAATGCAACAATAACAACAAAGGATATGGAGAAATTGAACCTTTGCAAATAACCACAATTTTCAAATCTGGGGGGAAAAGAATCTAATCTTAGAAACGTCAGTTATTTGTGGTATTCTGCAAGGTTAGCATGCTAGACCTTTGTCTAATGTTAAAGGACTGTAATTTATCCTCTCTTTCTTTTGCCCCCATTCTTTATCCACAGCTTGTGAAGACCAGAAGCCTTGTCCTCCTGGTTCTTTCCTCACCCCATTCCTTCAGGCTGTCTACCTCTTCGTGCAATACATCATCATGGTGAACCTGTTGATTGCTTTCTTCAAGTAGGTTATCTTATGTGAATCAGAATGGGGCCAGGCATTTAAGTAGATTTACATATTTTGAGAACATGATACTTTTGTATCTTCCATGTTTTAGCACTTTGGCTTTAAAATGTGCTCAATCTGGTATCTGTCAGAAGGAAGCAGAGAATGGAAAGGGGGGGGGCGGGGCGAGAAATACCAATGAATGGAAACAAAGTATAAAATGGTAGAATTAAAGGACATCATGAGTTATAGTTAAGCATTGTTGTTGTTGTTGTTATGTGCTGTCAAGTTGACTAGGACTCATATCAACCCTACATATAAGGGCTCTGAACCTTGCCCTATTCTGAGGCACCTTCACTATCTTCAGCCAACCTCACCTCATTGCCACAATTACTTTGTCAATCCCTCTCTTCCAGGGTGGTCTTCTCCTGCTCTGACCTTCTACCTTTCCAAGCCTGATATCCTCTCCGAAGACTGATCTGTCTGAATAATAAGTCTAAAGTATGTGAGTTGGAGTTTAAAAAAAAATTGCCTATTTGCCTCCAAGGAGCAACCTAGTTTCGTCCTCTCTAAGACAGACCTGTTTGTTCTCTTGAAGGCCGTAGTATGTTCAGTACTCTTCTCAGTACCATAGCTCAAAAGATTTAACTTTCCTTCTGTCAACCTCAGTCATTGTTCAGCTCTCATGTGCATAGCAAGGGATTGAGGAGACCGTGATTTGGATCAGGTGTGCCTTATGAGAGATTACTTACGCAGTAAGTTGGGATCAGGAACAAATCCAGTTGATGGAGTTGCGAGTTGACTGAGGAATTCTTGACTCACGTTCTTCCTTGATTCTCATCCCCTACCTTTTAACACTGGAATGTTCCTGGGCTCAGAGTTTGTTTTCTGCTTATACTCTCTTGGTCACAAATGCTAACACACTCCAATTTACATCTTCAAAGAGTATCTTTCTTAAACTTAGTCTTGTAGATCCCTCTTCCCCTTTACATCCTTAGTCCAATGTGTAAGACATTTTCAGATAAAAGAAATGTCCCAGGCACAATTCTTGATCGCCCTGATTTCCCTCTGTTTACTTGTAAACTTTTCCAAATCTGTGGAAAAACTTTGACTGTCTAGGGCAACTCTGCCTTCTCAGTTGTTCAGACCAAATACCTTGGAGTCATTTTTCTCTTTAAATTTAATTTTCTTATTAGTTGACATGCAGTTTACATTGTGTTTCATTTATATACATTGCATTTTATACAATCTTTCATTTACGTTGTACTTCTTTCATATATGTGTTCAATTTTATATAATTAATGACTATTGATCTGTGCTTATTACCCCATCTTTTTGAGTCCCCACTGAATCTTTCCTATTCTTTTATCACCCTCCACCTCCCAAATGCATATGAAACTCTCCTATCCTAGTGATTTCTACCCTTAACCTTTTTCTACTCTCTTCTCCTTTCTGGACATTTATACACACCCTACTAGTTATCCTTCTATTTTTACAATAATGATCATATGCAGTATTTATCCTTATAAGACTGAGTTAGTTCACTTACCATAATGCTGTCTAGACTCTCTCATGTTATACAGTATTTTACAAAGTCATTATTATTCCTTAGTTCATAAAAATTCCTTAACTAAAATTATTCCTTAGTGCTGCATAGTATTTCATTACATGAATGTATCACAATTTCTTGATCCATTCATTTGTTCATGGGCATTTGGGCTGTTAACATATTCTTGCTGTTGTGAATAACGCTGCTCTGAGCACAGGTGTACTTATCTCCATTCATGTCTCAGTTCTAATTTTCTTGGAATATATTCCCGAACAGTGCAGTAGCTGGGTCATGTGGGATTCGAGCCCTTTGAGGAAAAGACCAGACTTCCTTCCAGAATGGTGATACCATTTTACGATCCTACCAGCAGTACATTACAGTTCCAATCTCTCCACATCCTTTTCAATACTTATTTCTTGCTGTCCTATTTAATTTTGTTACTGGGGTGAAATAGTGTCTCATTGTGATTTTGACTTGCATCTCTTTGATTGCAAATGATTTTGTGCATTTCTTCATGTCTCTGATGGTCATCCAAATGGCTTCTTTTGTGAAAAGTTCTTTCATGTCTATGCCCGTTTTGTTATTGGGTTATCAGTATTTTTCTTATGGAAGCCTTATAGTATTCTGTGTTTTTGTTATGAGACCCTTGTTTGAAGTGTCATTGCCAAATGGTTTTCCCCAGTCTGTAGATTTTCTTGTAGAGTCATTCCTGATTCCTCTTATACCTCTACCTCTGAACTGACAGGATTGTCTATTTACTTCTCTTATAAGGTATCATCTTCAATTCAGCTATTCCCACCTCTATATGACTCTCCCAGGTAGAGCCTCCTGACTTACTGCCCTGCTGCCGCCTTTGATTCCTATTTTCTGTTTTTAGCATAGTAATTCTGATAATTTTAAAAGTTATACCAGATGTGATGATAGAGAATTGATGCCTTTGAGCTGCGATGCTGGAGAAGAGCATTGAATATACAATGGACTGCTAAGATAATGAACAGGTTTGTCCTGGAGGGGGTTAAACCAGGCTGCTCCTTGGAGGCAAGGATTCTGAAGCTTCATCTGACATACTTTGGACATGCTGGAGTCCTTGGAGAGGGATGTCATGTTTGAGAGGGTGGAGAGACAGCGCAGGAGAGGAAGACTTCTCATGAAATGGGTTGATTCAGTGACTGGGTTAATGGGAGTAGGTGTGTCAGAGACAGTAAGGTTGGCATAGGATAGAGCAGGGTTTAGGACTGCTGTACTTAGGGTCGCTTTGAGTTGCAGATGACTCAATGGCACATAACAACAACAACAACAACAACAACAACATACCAGCTGGTATTAGTTCTCTGCTCCAAACCCTTTCAGGGCTCCCGATTACCTTTGGGTAATAGTCAGTGTTCCTGAAATGGCCACAGGTTCCTGTGTGATTTGATTTGCTGCTGCTTCTAGAATCATGCATCATATTGTTCTTTCTCTTACTTATTTCCCTGTGACCACACTGACCTCTCTCAAATGTTCAAATAACTCAGGTACATTTGCCCTTTCCCTTCTCTTTGCCTGAAATGCTCCTCCCCTTGATATTAGTGTCCCTTGTCCCCTCCACCTCTTTGAATCTTTGCCCAAATGCCCTCTTTTTAGTTATGCTTAAATCTAAGGTTGGACATTGAGCACAACTGCCCTTTATCCTGAGATCTCCCTTGCATGCCTGATCTCCTACTTAAAAAAAAAACAACCCACTTTTATAACATAGACAAATGTATAATCTATTGCTATATTGTGTTTTTCTGTTGCTTTGCCTTCTCTGCTGGATGTACACTCCCAGCGATTTTTGCTGTTGTTTTGTTTTTGTGGTTGTTTTTCTTTTTTTCTGATGAGTTTGTTCTCAGCACTGAAAAGAGTGTAGGTGCGTGTCTGTTTAATGAATTAATGAATGAAAGAAATGAAGTGAGATGATGGACAGCAACTAGAATTTCCTATTTGCTAAACACTAAGTTGGCACTAAGTTCCTTGCTTCTGTAAGGGTGGGAAAAGAGACTATTCATATATCGAATCTAAGTGAAGAAAGTAGAGAGAGAGCATAAGGGCCAGGGGCAGGTGAAACGATTAGAACAATTAAAATATGATTGTACTCTTTTAGGAAAAACATACACACACACTCAAGTAAATATTTATATAGGGAACTCTGGTGGTTTCGCGTTAAGGAGGTCTGCCAAAACCAAGGCCATTGGTTAAAATCCTACAGCTGCTACTGAGGGCAGTCTTCTGTGTGATTTACAGTCTTGGACCTTGTTGGATGGTTAGCTATATGTAAGTAGATTCCAATTTGATGGTACATAACAAAGCCAGTATGTTTTATTCCCAGCAAGATTATATATTATCATATTACCATGTTATGAACTGACCCTCTGTTGGCTTCCTGAGGCTGTAGATTTCATGGAGGAGATTGTCCTTCTTCCCTCCTACCAGCTCCCGTCCCCCATCCACCTGCCAAGGTACTAGTGGATCCAAACCGCCAGAGAGATGCTGCCTTTAGATTAGCAGTGCAGCTCGCGCTAGACTCCAACACCAGGAATCTCCTAACTTTTTTGTGTGTTCAATACTTTTTTGTCGTTTTTTTCCTTTTATGTATTTCAAATATTAAGATGTGTGTATGATTGTTTCCTTAGAAAAATCAAATGTCAAAAGGAGTTGAAAAATCCTCATACAGGCTAATCATCTCACGTTAGGAGATGAGGACGTTGAGATCTTTATTTAGAGAGCAGATCATTAGACTGAATGCTTCAGTCGGAGTGAAAAAGAACCTGAAGTATAAGGGGAGAGTGCCACCTGCTGGTGAAGATGCTGTAAGCACACCAGGAGTGACTACTATCCAAGTCGTTACTAGAGAGCTTCTTGAAAAAACACGCATTGTTAGGAAGTTCAGCATGTCTGAGTTAAGCGTTGCATTTTTAACAAATATTCCAAAAAGTCTCTTTTTTTAAAAAAAACCCAACATTTCTTTTGTTTCCACAAAAATGAAAAAGCCTGTACAGTATATTCTCACTACATTTTCACACGAGTTGTTCAGTGATGTTGTTTACATTTAAGCACTCTCATTTCCATGTTGATTTTTCTGTTCTTAACAGTCTGCTTTCCCTGACCTTGACCCCTTGCCTTCTACTCTGTTTTTTTGTAATTGTTTTAATGGTTTGGTCTCACACAGATGGTTCTTTTTTAAGGGAGTGCAGTACTCATGGGTGATACTCTGTGGAGAGCCTACCTGTGGTGTAAGGAGCTAGGTGGCACTGTGTGTAAGATGTTGGTATGTTAACCAAAAGTCAGCAGTTCACTTTCTCAGCAGCTCCTTGGCAGAAAGATGGACAGCTATTCCGAAAAAGATTTATAGCCTTGAAAGCCCACTCGAACCAACCTGTGTTAGAACAAACTTGATAGCAGTGGGAGGGTGTCTGTTATTTAGTTAGAAGGTTAACATGGAGACAGTTTTGGTTCATTTTCATTGTTGCAAAATGACAGATGCCATAGTAATTAATAGAAGTCCCTTTCTTCCTGTTTATACCTAATAGCATCTTTTACTTCGTTTGTATATTCTTCAAACATTTCAGTTCCCATTTGTTCCCTATTTCCAAGAAACGTCATCCAGCAGAATGTGGAAATTATCAAGCAATATTATTAATGTTGCATGCAAGCAAAATATTGCTGAAGTTCATACAAAACCAGCTAGAAAAGTACATTGACAGGGAACTTCCAGAAGTTCAAGCTCAGGTTAGTAGAGGCGGTGGCGCCAGGGATATCATTGCTGTTGTCAGATGGATCGTGGCTAAAAGCAGAGAACATCAGAAGAATGTCTATGTATGCTTTATTGACTATGCAGAGGCATTTGACTGTGTTAGAGCATTAAACATTATGGCTGACATTGAGAAGAATGGGAGTTCCAGGACACTTAATTTTGTGTAACCTGTAACTAGACCAAGAGGCTGTTGTGTGAACAGAACAGGGGAATACTGTGTGGTTTAAAATTAAGAAAGGTGTGTGTCAGGGTTATATATCCCTTCTCCATGCGCATTCAGTATCCTGAGCAAATTGTTTGAGATGCTGTACTGTATGAAGAAAAATATGGAATCAGGATCAGAGGAAGACTCATCGACAACCTGTATTATGCAGAGGATACAGCCTTTCTTGTTGAAAGTGAGGAGAACATGAAGTGCTTGCTGCAGAAGATCAAAGACTATATCCTTCAATGTGATTACACCTCAACATTAATAAAACATTGATCTTACCACTGGGGCCAATAGGCAACATCCTGACAGAGGTGGAGTGAAGATTGAATCTGACAATAACTTCATCTTACATAGATTTACAATTAGCAATCAGGAGATGAGGAGATGTACTGCACCAGGAAAGTCTGCAGTCGGGGGTCTGTCCAGAAAAGCAATGAGGTCAATTTGAGGACTAAGGTATCCTTGATTCAGGCCATATGTCTTTTTAGTTTTTTGCTATGCATCTGAGAGCTGGACTGTGAATAAAGATGATAGAAGAAGAGTTGCTGCTTTAGAGCTATGGTGCTGGAGAAGAGCACTGAACACCCCAATTAGCAGGAGCGGCATCATCCACTTCCTAAACAACATGCCTCTGGAAACTCGGTGAGCTTTGAATCATGTAGATAGTTATAGAAAACCTTCAGGCCTTTTGTTCATAGGGTCTCTATGAATTGTTCTCAACTCAAAGGCAATCCGCAACAACAACAATAAAAGAACAAACCAGATACATCTTGAGGAAAGTGCAGCCAGAGTGCTTCTTGGAGGCAAAGATGACACAGCTTCGTCTCACATATTTTGGGCCTGCTGTTTGAAGATGCTTTTCCTTGGAGAGGATATCATGTTTGATTGCGTGGAAGAAGATTGTTCATCTTTCTCCCAGGGAGCAACTGTTGGTGCATTTGAACTGTGTTCCTTTGGATTGGTAACACAACTCCTTATCACTAGAAAGTTTTAAAACAGATATCCTTGTGCCCTCCCTTACATTACTCTCTATATGCTTACAGTAACGTAGATATAAATGATACGGTGTTTTAGAATAGCTTCCATCCACCCTAACTTCTATTAGAAAGAATGCAAAATTAATGTTCATTCTACTGTTTGCATAATAAAATAAAACCCAAAGTGGCCTGTTAATGAGGAGTTATATTTACTGTAAATTGAGTCTGTCTAATTTCTATGGCTTCTAATAGGAGCTGTTTATTGATTGAATTATAGGATGAGCTGCTCCTTCTTCCTGGTTCATTCTTTATTAATACTGCTTTGTTTGGGTGTTCTCATGTGTGATAACATATCTTCATAAAGTTGGTGATATTGATGGTGACTAGAGATGTTTGCCAGGGGGGATGAGTTAGAGACTGACAAGGAGGTGCCTATATGAGGAAAAGTGATGAGCCAAGGATAGAGCTGAGTTTTAGAGGGAAGTTTCTGTTCATTGCATTTAGAATGCTAGCATTAGTGAAGAGCAATGGTGTCTCTCTGGAGACTAAGGTGCATCTTTTCAGTCACTTGTTATTTGTCAGTGAGTTGGACAATGACTAGAGAGGATAGGAGAATTGATGCCTTTGAGCTGTGGTGCTGGAGAAGAGTATTGAATGTACCATGGGCTGCTAAGAAAACAGATTCATCCTGGAGGGGGTTAAACCGGGCTGCTCCTTGGAGGCAAGGATTTTGAGGCTTCGTCTGACATACTTTGGAGATGTTGCAAGGAAAGACCAGTCCTTGGAGAAGGACATCGTACTTGGGAAGGTGGAGGGACAGCGCAGGAGAGGAAGATCCTCTAGGAGATGGATTGATTCAGTGACTGGGGTAATCAGCATGGGTGTGTCGGAGATAGTGCGATTGGCATAGGACAGAGCAGAGTTTAGGGCTGTTGCAAGCGACTCGATGGCACATAACAACATCAATTTCTACCAAGTGTCATTATTCTGATTGGTCTGTTTCACTGTAGAAGACAATTCAGGCATTCTGTTTGCTGGAGAAAGAAATATAAACCCAAGTGTGTATGTTTGTGGCTAATTGCGAGGCAATGCCAATTAATCCAGTAGCAAAAGTTGGAAAACAAAGACTCGAAGTGCTGTGTTTTAGGTTATTTTATTGTAACATCGTTCCTCTCTTAACACAACTTACAGCAATGTGTACTTGGAGATGCAGTCCATGTCCAATAAACTGTGGAAATACAACCGCTACCGCTACATCATGACCTACCACGAGAAGCCTTGGCTGCCTCCACCCTTCATCCTGCTGAGCTACATTGGCCTCCTCATCCGCCGCCTTTGCCATCATCAAGCTCCGAACGACCAAGAGGAGGGTGATGTTGGATTAAGTAAGTTTTTGTTGGTGGGGCAGGCAGGGGGAAAAAATACAGAGGGATTGTCCAGAGTGAAGACACTGGAGCTTTGTAAATGAAATTCATGGCCCGAGATGGAAAGCTTTCTGAGCTCTTGGACAATTGATAAGCAGTGGATGCTTTTTCTAGTTAGCTTCAACTCTTGAGACCCTTGTGCGTCAGGAGGAGACTTTGCCTGACCTGCCTCATCCTCCTAATCACTACTATAACTGAGTCAAGGCTTGAGGTGAGCATGTTACCTTTCACCCTCTGTTGGCAGAGTCTGCAGTGAATTAAGCTGCTGACCCAAAGGCTGCATGTGTGTCTAGGGGTTCAGAACCACCAGCAGTTCCGTGGGAGAAAGGTGGGTTGTCCCCTGCTGTTGTGATTTACAGCCTGGGAGCCCTGAAGGAGGGTCAACATGACTGAAACAAACTCAGTGGGAGAGATTTGGCAGCTCTTTATAGCACTAATTGTATTCTGTAGTGATCCATTGGGATTAGGATTTCATTCCTAGGTTTTCTTGGTTTGGAAGCACTACATAATTTCTTCTTTGGCCAAATGTACACGTTTTGAAACAGGTGTAAAGAGTTAATGCCACTTGTACACGCTCTCTGCTGGCCTAGGAATTTGTCAGAGTGAATTCTTAGAGAGTAATTGCAGTGACCTGCACGTATGTCCATGTTGTTTAATATGAAAGGACAGTGCATCAATCTCAATCTCATTGCCTTTGAGTTGGAGCCAGCCCACACCTGACCCTTCAGGGGTTTCCAAGGCTGTAAGTCTCGTGGAGGAGCTTGCCCATTTTCATCCCTCGAAGCAGCTGGTGCATTCAAACCACCAGAAGCACCAGGGGCTTTGGATTAGTAGCACAAATCACTACGACTGTACTGCCCCCCCCCCTTTAAATTTAAATAGAACTGTCTTTGGGTCTTAGGGAAAGAGATAAGCAAAGTTTTGCTTAATTTACTAATTAGAGTTCTCTGGTTTCTTATCTACTGAGTGGAAAGTTAATTCTGAAATGGATATTTCATATTTTCAATACCTTTAATTCTCCTTTTTTTAAAAGCTTAAGTCTACGTATTTTGAGGTTTCCTTTATTCACAAGGCTTAGCTAAATCTTGACTGCGTGATCACCTCATTATCATGAGAGAACACTGCTTATTGTGTTTTTGCAGATCTTCAGTAGTTCCCATTAAGCAATTCCACAGCTGGCAGCAGCACCCTTAAATAATTCTGAAAGATGGAAATAAGATGCATAAATCTACAGTCCTTTATCCTGATCCTTATGTCCAAAATACTCCTGAAGATGCAAAAGGCTTCCCCCACCCTTTTTCTCTCAGTAACTTGGGTGAAGAATCCTTTGGGCAGAGAAGTGTAACAGGGATGGATAGATTATTTCTTCTCTTTATCCCTTGTTTTGCTAAGAGGAAATGACGTGTCTTATGACAGGACTCTGCCCTACCCCCAAGTAAGCATTTTACTTCACTTGTGGAGTATGAACCATGTTTACCTTTTTGAAACTGGGAAAGAAAAATGGTGAGTCCCCAAACACAGCGGGCCCCAGAGGTTTCACACAGGATTGTGGATTATTTACATTTGCTGAGATAAGTCCTTTGGGGATATTCCGTGCTGCTGAGAGCTGAGAGGGCAACAGGCTTTTTTGCACCTGATTGTTGGCTCTGAAATATTTCTATCCTCAGTAGCTTGCAGGATTTATTCAGTTTTTCCTTTCTTCCTCTCGCCTTGCAGGCTTTATAAGGGAGACAAAGTACAACTGAAGTTAAAGTCTTAAGATTATACCGTAAATTTTCACCAGTGTAAATCTCAATCTTCTAATCATTAATTCATTGCTTTGAGTCAGAACCAATTTATAGCTGACCCTCCAGCCCGTTTCGATGACACTTAACAACAACAACAACAAATCACATGGGAGGCCATCCTTCTCCCGATGAGCAGCTGGATTCGAACTGCCTGCCTTTGGATTGGCAGCTCAATATTTTATCCACTGGATCACCAGAGCTCCCAAAGTTTAATACTAAGTGTTATCGCCCAAACCACTGCGTTCTGCTAGTCCAGTGTGAACTCCTAAGTGTTGTACTTAATAACAGTTAATTCCCTTGATTACATTGACCTGAAAAGTTGGAGGTTTGAGTGGTGCCTCTGAAGGAAAGCCTGGTGATCAATCTGCTTTCCGGAGCCTAACAATTCAAAATCCTACTGCGCCCAGTTCTACTCTGACACACAAGAGCTAGAAGCAATCAGCTCAATGACAACTGGCTGGTGGAGTGTGAACTGCTTGAGAACTCCTGAATCTAAGCAGGATTTGCCCAGTCTTCCTACAGCCTTCTCTGGGCTAGTCCAGAAATTTTACGATGTGTATCCGTGAGTTGTTCACTTGATCCCTGAACATTCCTGATTGTGGCTCCCAGTCATCTGCGTTGATGAGCTCGTTTCCGTGTGGGCCAGCAGTGCCACCTGGTGGCCAGTCTCCAGAAAGCACCTCTTGATGCAAGTTGCACCAACAACTCTGATAGCTCTTTACTCTTCAACACGGTAGTGCTGCTTGCTCTCCGGAGGCTCAAATTATGTTGTTTATAAAGTTTCTTGCTTCATTTTGAAAAGACGTTGAGACGTTGATGTCAGGGGTGAGGGGACAATTGTTTTTTAAAAAAACCCCACAAAACCAAAGATTGTTGCGTACTATATGAATTAGGAAAGATCCTTGTTCTGGTGGCCTAGTGGTAAAGAGGTGAGCTGTCAACCTGAAGGCAAAGCTATCAGCTGCTCTGGAGGAGAGAAGTGAATAGTCTCCTGGGGGATTTACAGCATCTGAAAACCTCCTGGAGGGTCAGCTCTGGTCAGTTCTTTCTCAATGACACATAACTACAACATATTATCATAGTATCATATGAAATTTAATGAGCTATTTATGGTAGGCAATGTATATATCCCTGATTGATTGTTGTTGGTTGTTGTTATGTGCCATCGAGTTGCTTGCGACTCATAGTGACCCTATGTACAAGAGCTCTAAACGCCGTTCTATCCAACCTAGACATCACAAACACACTTACTCTCACCACTCCAGTCACAGAACCGATCCATCTCATTGAAGGTCTTCCTCTCCTTCGCCAACCCTCCACTCTGCCAAGGACCAGTCCCTCCTTGCAACATGCCCAAAGTATGTCAGACAAAGCTTCAGAATCCTTGACTCCAAGAAGCATTCTGGATTCACCTTGTCCAGGACAAACCTGTTTGTTCTCCTAGCAGTCCATGGTATATTCAACTCTCTTCTCCAGCACCACAGCTCAAAGGCATCAATTCTCTTTCTATCAACCCTATTCACTGTCCAACTCTCTGATGCATAGCATGTAATTGCAAAGACTATCGCCTAGATCAGGTGCACCTTAGTCTCCAGCCTGACATCATTGCTCTTCAGTACTCTTGAGAGGTCCCTCACAGCTGACTTTTCCAATGCAATTCACCTCCTGATTTCCTGGCTGCTGTTACCAAGAGTGTTGATTGTGGATCCAAGTAAACTAAAACTGTTAACTATCTCAATCTCTTCACCATCCATACTGATGCTGCCAATTGGCCCAGTGGTGAGACTCTTTGTTTTCTTGATGTTGAGCTTCAGTCCATATAGGAGGCTGTAGTCCTTGACCTTCTGCAGCAAGCACTTCAGGTCCTCCTCAGTTTCAGGGTGTGTCATCTGCATAACGCAGGTTGTTGATGACTCTTCCACCAGTCCTGATGCCACATTCCTCCTCGTACAGCCCAGCGTCTCAGATGATCTATTCTGTATACAGATTGTAAAGGTATGGAGACAGAATACATCCCCGACGAATCCCCTTCCTGATTTTTGAGCCATGTAGCGTCTCCTTGCTCTGTTCTGACGACTGCCTCTTGGTCTAAGTATAGGTTTCGCATTACTGACTGATAATGTCAAAGTTGTTGTTAAGTGCCTCTGAGTCAGAACGGACTCATAGATGATTCTTCGGGGGGTTTTGAGAGGCTGTAAATCTCACAGAAGGAGATTGCCCATTTTTCTCCCATGGAATAACTGTTGGATTCGAAACACATGCCTTTGGGTTGAATCCTCGTTCCTTACCACCTGCTGTTGTTAGGTGTTGCTGAGGCAAATACAACTCGTAATGACCCTATGAACAACTGACCTGAACCCTACCCTATGCTGTTCCATCCTCTTTATCTCTAACACACTAGAGCCTATTTCTAAAGTTACCATGTCAATTGTCTCATTGGAAGTCTTCTTCTTCACTGACCCTCCCGTTTTTCCAACCTTGATGTCCATTTCCAAAGAGTAGATACATGTCCAAAGTACAAAAGATGAAGCTTCATCATCCTTACCTCCAAGGAGCACTCTGGCTGCAACGTTTACAAGACATATCTGTTCTTTTGTCAGTCCATGAGATATTCAGGACTGGTCTCCAACACCACAACTCAAAGGCATTAATTCTTCATCTGTCATCCTTATTCATTGTCCTGATCTCTGATGCATAACAAGTGAGTGATAAAACCAAGGCCTGAAATAGTTACACCTTAGTTTTCAAACTGACATCATTGCTCTTCAGCATTTTGGAGAGGTCTCTGACAGCAGGCTTACCCACAAGGCAATATGTTTCCTGATTTCTTGACTGCCAGTACCCATAGAACCTAAAAAAACCCAAACAAACAAACAAACCAGACCTCATTGCCATTCAGTCAGAACCAGGTTGTAGCTGATTCTCCAGTGGGTTTCAGGAGGTTGTAAATCATATGGGAGGAGACTGGCTATCTTTTTCTGTGGAGAAGTTGGTGGATTCAAATTGTCAAAGAGGTGCTGTCTTTGAGCTGACAGTGTAACTCCTTGGAATTATTATATCCAAACTCATTATAACAGGCAAATCTTTTATACTTAATAATTTAACATGGGAGAAAGATGAGCAGTCTCCTCCTGTCTATTTTAGAACTTCTGAAAACCCACGGGGAGGGTCAGCTATGAGTCAAGTCCAACTCAATAACAGATGTGCACTTCACCTTTGTCTTCTGCCCTCCTCACCGTCTCCGATGTCCTGGGACCCAGTGATACAGTCACTATATCAGTCCATCTCACTGAAGGTCTTCCCCTCTTTCTCTGAATGTCCTCCTCTCCCTGCATGATGTCTTTTTCCAAGGACTGGATCTTCCTGACAACATAACTAAAGTATGTGAGATGAAGTTTCACCATCCTTGCCTATGTTAATTCTAGTGAGATAGTTTCTGTCCCACATGAGCACATTATTTCAATCCCACATTTGTTTAGAAAGCAAGTAGAAGAGAAACAAACTGGGGTTTCTAGTTGCTTCTTTTGACTGCTTCTCCGTCAGCAGTTAGGGATACAGGATGATGAAGCAGCAACTTTGATCACAAACTACCATTTATAATTTTCTACAAAACTTAGGGAAAAAGCAACCCCTCCCTCATACCAACTTCCTACTAAGAATGAATAATGGTTCTTTTTGTGTGCTGTACTTCCACAGAGCTCTACCTGAGTGTTGAAGATTTGAAAAGACTTCATGACTTTGAAGAGCAGTGTGTGGAAAAATACTTCCATGAGAAGATGGAAAGCCTGAATTGTAGCTGTGAGGAACAAATTCGAGTGACATCCGGAAGGTAAGAGATGGCTTTTTCTCTTTATTCTAAAGTTAATATCAAGACTTAATTCTACTGTTGTTAAGGTGCTGTTGAGTCAGTCAGTTTTGGAGCTGACCCTCCAGCAGGCTTTCGGAGGCTGTAAATCTCATGGGAGGAGAGTGGCCATCTCTCTCCCCCAGAGTAGTTGGTGGATATCGACCGCCTGCCTTTGGATTGACGGTGCAACATCTTACCTGTTGGGCCACCAGACATCTGATTCTACTTGTTAGTGTTGTTGTGTATCCTCGAGTCAAAATCGACCCATAGTTGACTCTCCAGCAGATTTTCAGAAGCAGTTAATCCCATGGGAGATTGCTCATCCTTCTCCTGTGGAGCAGCTGGTGGATTCGAACTGTGTGCCTTCTTGGTTGGAGTGCAGAATATCTAAAAGCTAGGGAGTTTCTATTCAAAACGAAGAGATTTCAGTTTTCCAAAATTTGACATATTCATCAGCATGTAGTATTCATTCAATTAATATGCATTTACTGAGTGTCTACTATGTACCCTCTTCTTGTTGAAATAAGAAGGAAAAAAAGATATAAGCACCCCTGTTCTCATAAGACTTACATTCTGGGGTGTTTATGGGGCAGTGGTGGTGGGGGGAGGAGGAGGCAACATATAAGCAAATAAACATGTACTTTAGTTAAAGAGCTTGAAAGAAAAAGAACAGTTTCAGCGACTGGCTGAAGAATGAGAAAGGTGAGTTTGGGGTCGGGTTGCACTGTTTTGGAAAGCTGGCCCAGGGAAGTCACTGAAAATTTGAGGCTGTGTGAGCAGAGACCTGAAGGAGGAAGTGAGGTGAGGAAGCAGGCACAGACCCTGGTGGGATAGTGCACGTGGCATGGGGAAGAGCAAATGCAGACCCCCACACCCGCACCCGACCCCCGAGACGGGAGGCAGCATTGGTGTGTCCTATAGCAGCAGGCAGGCCGAGGGGACCTCAAAGAGTGTATGGCTATTGGGTTGGCAGTAGGTTGTAGCCTTGATGAGCTGTGTGAAGGGGAGGTCAATGCAGAGACAACATTACAGACAATTTGCAGAGCTCTGATGGTGTGGTCAGCAGGAAGTTGTCCTGCTAATCCAAGGACTACACTTCTCTGGCCGTTCAAATCCACCAGCATCACTGCAGTAGAAACAGGGACTGTCTTCGCGGGTGTGATTTATCGTCTCAGAAATCCAATGGAGATTTCAGCTCTACTTGATTCTGACTCTGTATGAGTCAAAATGAGGCAAAGACGTTTTACTGTGAAGGGAATCAAGGGGTGTGTGTGGACAAATGAGCCTTCATTGTGTTTTGTTTCATGTGGAGATAATGAAATGCGTATTATGGTCCTGGTTCTGTGCAGTGCACCAGCAATGGAGAAACTATAGTCACAGCTGAGTGAGCTAGCCATCTGGGTAGCATTTTTGAGAAGTAGGTGTTAGTGAGGGGTGTGGACTGTCCCTTTCGGTGGACAGGCAGGAACAGAGCCAGTGCACAAGAAGGGGCAGGGAGGTGGGGGAAGCCTGTCTGTCCTGAGCGGGCTGACTTTGCCTCTGTTAGAGAAAGTGAACATAGTAGGATCACACATAGCATGGAGTTATTACAAATTTTATTATTGTTAAAAATTTGTACAATTTATTTTATATGAATTTATTTACAAAGTTCTAATGCATTGTTTTTCACATTGGATCTTTCCCATTTCCTTCACCCCCCCCATCAAATTGTGTGACCCTATGACTAACCCTCCACCCCCAAATCCTCATCCTCTGCTTCTGCCCTCTTTCCCCTTGGATCCTCATACTCGTTCAACAATAATGGTTTTATACAATATTTGCCCTTATGGGACTGAGTTAGTTCACTCAGTATAATACTCTCCAGTCCCTCCCAAGTTAGGCAGTAATTTACAAAATCATTGCTCCTGTGTGCTGCTTAGTATTCCATTGTGCAAATCTACCATAATTTCTCAATCCATTTTATTGTGGTTGGACAACTGCGCTGTTTCCATGTTCTTGTGATGGTGAATAACACTGCTATAAAATTGGTGTACAAATCTCTTTTTGAGCTCCAGTTCTTATTTTCTCGGGGTATATTCCTAGCAGTAGAATAGCTGGGTCATAAGAATTTCTATGTTCAGCTTTTTGAGGAAGCACCAAACTTGCTTTCAGAGGGGTTGTACCATTTTACAATCCCACCAACTATATATAAGGGTTCCTAGCTCACCACAATATCTCCAACATTTATTACTTGCTATCTTGTTATACTTTGCCATTGCTACTGGAGTGAGAAGGTATTTCATTGTGGTTTTGATTTGCATCTTTCTTATTGCCAGTGATTTTGAGCGTTTCTTCATGTGTCTGTTGGCCATTTGAATATCTTCCTCTGTGAAAATTCTTTGCATGTCTTTTGCCCATTTTGTAATTGGGTTATCAGTCTTTTTCTTGTGGAGGCCCAGGAGTATTCTGTAAACTTTAATTATGAGGCTCTTGTCTGAGATCGTATTGGCAAATGTTTGTTCTCAGTGTGTACGTTTTCTTTTCACCCTGCAGGAAAAGGTTTTTGATGCACACAGGGATTTAATCTTTAGAGGTCCCATGTATCAATTTTATCCTCTTTGGATTGTGTATTTCTGGCTGTATTTGATAGTGTCTTTATACCATAGACCAGGCCTTCTAAGGCTGATCCCAGTTTGTTTTTCATGAAGTGTATAGTTTTGGGCTTTACTTCCAGGTTTCTGATCCACCATGAGTTGATTTTTGTGTATGGTATGAGATGTGGATCCTGTTTCAGCTTTCTGCAGGTAGCAGTTATTACTAATTTTCAATGCATGGAATTGTAAAAAAACTTAGAAATCTTTATGCTCTCTGATGTATTTTTTAAAGTACAGAATTACTATGGTGATTGACAACACATTTTGAATCTCTGTGTATCCAATTGAAAATGCTATGTCTAATTACACACATATTTTTTCTAATGTCCAAATTGGTGGTGCTGTAGTTGTTAAGTGCTGTCAAGTTGAATACGACTCATAGTGGTCCTATGAATAACAGATCAAATCCTTGACATATCCTCATCAACTCTGACATTCTTGAGCCTACTGCTGTAGTCACTGTGTTAATCCATATGGTTGAAGATCTTCTCCTTTGCTGACTCACCACCTTTTCAGTAATAATGTCCCTGTCCAAGGAATGGCCCCTCATAACAACACACCCAACGTATGTGAGATGAAGCCTTTGTAATGCTTGCCTCCAAGGGGGACTCTGGCTGCATTTTCTTTAAGACATATCTGTTCATTTTTTTTTTTTTGCAGTCCATGGCATATTCAGTACTCTTCTCCGAAATCACAACTAAAGGCATTTATTTTGACTCATAATGATTTCATATGACAGATTAGAATGGCCCTATAGTGTTTCCCAATCTGTATAAGGTTTTCTAGTTTTCACCACTGGGCCAATAAGCAATGTCATGATAGATGGAAAAAAGTTTGCAGATGTAATTTATTTCATCTTGAATCAACAGTCAACACCCTTGGCACCAACACTTAGGAGATCAGGAGATGTACTGCATTGGGCAAGTCTACTTTCAGAGATCTCTCCAAAATACCAAACAATGGTGATGTTAATTTGCATCATTCAGGCTATGATTTTTCAGTCACTTGCTATGTATGTGAGAGCTGGACAGTGAATAAGGGTGCCAGAAAAATAATTAATGCCTTTGAGTTGTGGTGTTGGGCTGCCAAAGGAATAAACTAAATAAAGGAATAAATAAAGATATGTCTTGAAAAATGTGTACCAGGTACTCCTTAGAGGCAGAGATGGTGGAACTTTGCCTCTCATATTTTGGGTTTAAAATCAGGAAATATATACATTTGTTTGTACACTTTCCCCATATCTATTCAATCTGTAGGCTGAGCAAATCATTCATGAAGCTGAACTCCATGGCTAGGAATGTGGCCACAGGATTGGAGGAAGACTCATCAACAGACTGCTCTATGCAGCAAGCAAACTTTGTTTGCTGAAAGTGAGGAGGACTTGAAGTAATTACTGCAGAAGCTTAAATTCTGCAGCCTTCAATAAGGATTGAATCTCAACCGCAAAAAGACAAAAATCCTCACCACTGAACTGATAGGCAACATCAAGCTAGATGGAGAAAAGAATGAAATTGTCAATGATTTCATCTTACTTGGATCCACAGTCAATGCTGTTGGTACTAGCAGTCAGGAGATCAGGTGACATACTGCATTGCAGAAGTCTGCTGTCAAGGATCTTTCCAAATTTGTTGTTAGGTGCCATCGAGTCAAATACGACTCATAGCGACCCTATGAACAGAAGATCTGAACCTAGTCCTGTTCTGCACTCCCTCACACTTCCTGACACACGAGGGCCCATTGCAGCAGTCATCGTGTCAGTCCATCTGGTTGAGGGTCTTCCTCTCCTTCATTGATCCTCCACTCTTCCCAACATCACATCCCTCTCCAAGGAATAGCTTGGAAAGGTGGGAGGTCAGTGAAAGAGAAGAACACCCTCAACAAGATGGATTGACACAGTGACTGTGGCAATGAGCTTAGGTAAGTCAGAGATAATGAGGATGTCAGAGGAGATGACAGGGTTCAGATCTTTTGTTCACAGGGCCGCTCTGAGTCATACTCGACTTGATAGAACCTAAAACCAATATAACATGCCTAAACTATGTGAGGTGAAGCTTTGCCATTCTTGCCTTCTAGAAGCACCCTGGCTTGCACTTTCCCCAAGATGTATCTATTGTTCTTTTGGCAGTCCATGGAATATTCAGTGCTCTTCTCCAACACAAAGGCATTAGTTCTTCTTCTGTCATCCTTATTCATTGTCCAGCTTTCAGACGCATATCAAGTGATTAAAAAGGCCATGGCCTGAATCAGGTGCACCTTACTCTTTAAAATGACATCTTTGCTCCTTAGTAATATGGCGATGTCCCTGTCTGTAGACTTCCCAATATAGAACATCTCTTGGTCTCTGACTGCTGGCACCAAGAGTTTTGAGGGAATTAGAATGAGATATCTGTCCACAGCTCTGATCTGATGTAAGGGGAATTTCCCTGGGGATGGTGTCTACATCACCTTTTGATTTAAAAGAGATAAGAGGGAAACTAGCAGAGAGAGGGTTGTCATTACCACCAAGAAACCAGAGTTGGAAGTGAAATGTGTCTTTTAACCAAGGACCTCTTGCCAGGAACCTCTTTGCTTTAGGGAAAGATTGATGCCAAGACAAGGAGGTGTCTAGGGAAGACTGGGCTCATCGATATTGTAAGGAGACAGAGACCAGAGCTGATAGACAAAACTTTCCTCCAGAAACTCTCAGAAATGCCCATTGCCACGCAGTCAGCAGCATCTCGTAGAAGTTTTTCTGAGACTGTTAATTGCATTGGGGAAAATTGTCCATCTTTCTCCCTTGATGCCACTGGTGAATTCCAGCCACTAGAGAGATCTTAATGCAGATTTCTAGCCTCTTAATTAGGAGAGAATAACTTGTTTGTTAAAGCCACCCACTGTAGTATGGCTGTTAGAGCATTACAAGACAACTATGAAAGCCCCATTCTCTGTATTAGGAACTCTAACCTGTTTTGACATTCCCTTTCTCTATTCGTATTAGGTGTTCCACCACATTAAACGTGTTCGTATATGTTATGTTTAATAAATGTTGCATAAAAATGTTTAGCCATTTTAGCATAACAACACAACAGGATTGTATAGAGTTATAGTTTGTTATAAAGTTATAGAGCCCATCAAAAGACCATGGCACTTTTTAGGAATCCCTGTGAATACTTCCCAGCATGGTCAACATTGATGTAATTTATTCAGTGCTTTCTAGGACTCTGGAAACCTAACTGTATCTTGCTCAGCCTCTTTTTAGTGAAAGAAATAATAATAATACTTAGCTCATAGGGTTGTTATGTGGATTCAATAAATTTATAGTCTGTAAAATCTCTGGCACATAGTGACTAATATGATCATGATGATTATAATTATCCTGTCTTTCCATTTTAAAGTATCTGTCTGAAGGCCATAAAACAATCACCATTCTGTATTCCCTCCACTCTTATACCTTGTCAGAGGAAATAAAAATGATAAGAATTTACTTTACATGTCAGAATAACTAAAGAGCTGAATTAAATTAATGGAGTTGGTGGTCTCAGAAGGTAATTAAAATGTGCTTCACAGGACATTGAGCTTTGGAAACTAAGTACCTGTAAAAGCAAGAGGATCCGATTTGAGGGTGAGCAGGTTATTTGTCTAACGGGTTTGCGCTGCAGCGTGTGTTACCTGTTGCCGTGAATTGTTGCTGCTTTCTATTGTATCCATTTGATGTGACGGCTGCTAATGGAACTTAATGAGTCTCCATTTACTGCTGTTCAGATTGTACTGTTTAGAGGTAGATAAAACAGTGAACTGGATGGAGAGGCATTAATTAAGCATATTTAGAAGGGAATATGCATGTATTTTGTGCTTCACCCCGCCCCCATCATTTTTGCCAATTCTGGTTTTGCAGTTTTCAGAGGGTCAGGAAGCCTTTATTAAGCTCCTATTGAATCATAGAAATTGAATTCTATAGCCAAAGGTAAGAAAGAGATGGTTCCACCCACACATAATATAATGAAAATGGAAAACACCACCCCCATTAGTTAGTTCAATACCTACCTACAAAGTTCTCAGAAAGAAGAAATGGAGGGTTTTTCAACCTATGTGAGTTGAGTGTTCTAGAAAGGGACACGTATTTGGAAAGTGCTTGCTATAGCATGAAGTGTTTAACCTGCTAGTGTCATTACTGCTTCCTTTGTCCCAAGTCAGACTCGGGGGGTGGGGGGAGTTCTTTAATTCTGCTTATAGCCATGCCAGCCATGATACTGCTGGTTAGATTCCTTTCTTTGTTGTTTTTTACTTTATTCTTGTCTATGAGAGTTCACTCATTATTGAAAAATTGGAAATTAACTTATTTCTCTCTGTTGTTGTTGTTAGGAGTTGTCGAGTTGAGTAAGACTCATAGCGACCCTATGAACAAAAGATCTGAACCCTGTTCTATCCTGCATCATCCTCACACTTCCCGACACACCAGAGCCTATTGGAGCAGTCACCGTGTCAGTTCACCTGGTCGAGGGTTTTTCTCTGCTGCACCGACCCTCCGTCCTTCCCAGTATTCCTCCACTCTTTCCATTCCTCTCAAAGCAATATCCTCTCCTAGCAACATGCCCAAAGTATGTGAGGCAAAACCTCTACTATATTTCCGTCTTGTTGTTGGTAGGTGCCATCAAGTCAAGCATAACTTGTAGTGACCCTATGAACAAAAGATCTGAACCCTGTTCTATCCTGTGCCATCCTCACATTTCCTGACACACTAGAGCCCATTGCAGCAGTCACTGTGTCAAACTCCCTGGTTAAGGGTGTTTCTCTCCTTTGCTGACTCTCCACTCTTCCCAGTACCATGTCCTTCTCCAAAGAATAGCACCTCCTAGCAACATGACCAAAGTATGTAAGGTGAAGCCTCATCGTTCTTGCCTCCATAGAGCACTCCGGCTGCACCCTCTCTGACATGTTTCTGTTTGTTCTCTTGACTGTCCAGTGTTCTTCTCCAACACCTCAACTAAAAGGCGTTAGTTCTTTTTTTGTCCCTCTACTCCTCTCCAAAAGAAATTTTAAAAGGATGAAGATGAAGCAGAGGAATCAAATCAAAGAGAGACCACTCAACCACTTCATTTAGCCAAGTGTTTTCTAAGAAGAGGTAGTCAAATTTTGTCATGTAGAAAAAGAAACAAAACTGGAATGATTAATCAGATGCTGGAAGAGATAACAAGTGGGAAGGTGAAAATGTAGCTCTGAGACAGAGAGAAACAATAGCTGGCAATGTCAATTTGAACCTTTTCCCAGGGGGTGTCTTAGTTATTTATTTAGAACTGTGGCAACAGAAATACCACAAGTGGCTGACTTGATCAGACAGAAATTTGTTCTCTCACAGTTCAAGTCCTTACTCAGTGGACCTGTTTTAGGGGAAAGCCCTTTTAACTCTGGTCTCCTTTCAAATTCTGTGACCACGGTGCTCCTTGGAGGTTTGTGTTTCCTGGCATCAATCTTCCCCCAAGTCTAAGAGGCTCTCAATGGGAGGGCCTGGGACAAAAGATGTGCTCTGTCTCTGCTCTTCTTCCCTGGTGCTACCATTGTCTCTCTTCATAGGCTCACTTCATTTTCCTTTTGTATCTTGTAATATAAGGTGATATAAGCCATACCCTTAGGAGTCTTCCCGTACATCTGATCAGGTTTGAGACCTCAGTGAGGATGTTTCACCCCACCTCGTCCCTGTCTCATTAACATAACATGCACAATTTGATCCTGCTTGCATTAACCACAGGTAAAGATTAGGATTTACAACACATAGACAATTATGTAAAATCACAAAATATTGAGAGTTATGGTCCAACTAAGTTTTCACTTGTTTTGGGGAATACATTTTTTTATAAGATGATAATAGAAATTACAGGACTGGGAAAGATCATTCAGTATGGGAACAAATGTCAGAAAAGAAGAAGGCAGAAACAGCTAAGGCTGAGGACCCATCATAGGATGGAAAAGACCAAGGCAAACTGATACAGACTTAATGTGCTCACTGGTTTTCTCCCTTCTCTCACCCTTAGGGTTACAGAGATGTGCTTCCAACTGAAAGAAATGAATGAGAAAGTGTCTTTTATAAAGGACTCCTTACTGTCTTTGGATAGCCAGGTGGGACACCTGCAGGACCTTTCTGCCCTGACTGTGGACACCTTAAAGGTCCTTTCTGCTGTTGATACCTTGCAAGAGGAGGAGGCTTTCCTGGGCAACAGAAAGCATTCCACTTGCAGAAAACTTCCCCACAGCTGGAGCAATGTCATCTGTGCAGATGCTCTAGACAGCATGGAGATCTCTGGGGAGAAGTACCACCAGGTTTATAGCATGCCCCCTTCTTTGCTGCAGAAACTGACCAGAGGCGAGCATCCCTCCAGAATGCAGAGGGGGGCCCTCCTTGAGCTTACAGACAGTCTGAAACAGGCTCCCAGTGTGAGCGATGCCTCGGAAGAACAACAAACAAGAAATGAAATAGCTCCATCTAGAACGTCCCTTAATTGGCAAGCGATCTCAAAACATGGCCCATTTATGGTCCCTTCTTACATAAAGCAAGTTCCTTTCTCTGCAGAAACAACTTTGTCTCTGCCCACATCATCTGAGAAAGAAGGAGCAGATTTTCAAGCACCTGGACAGGTCATCCAGAGTGAGGTCCCCATTCATCTGAGTTGGCAGACACCAGTTTTCTCAGACCAGGAGTTAGTAGATGAACCTAAGGAGCAATCTAAGCCAATCACTCAGGTAACAGCCAAACAAGACAGTGAGGAACAAGTTTTACCTGTTTTGTGTTCCAAATCTGTATCCCATAGGCCATTCTCCCTTCTGTCCCAAGGGGAGAACATGCAGCACACTGGAGGTGGATATGTGAACTGGGCATTTACAGAAGGTGATGAAGTTGGTACACATAACATCAAGAAAAAATGGCAAACTTGCTTAGCCTCCACCTGCAGCAGTGACTCAATCCAGAGTGGGCCCTCCCAGATGCAAAGCCGGGCCAGATCTTTGTCTGAAAACTCAACGAGATTGGCCCAGTGTAGTGACTGTGCAGTGCTGGAAACAGGGCTCCAGCCAAACTCTTCCTCGTGGGTCCATCCTCTTCGCAGAAGCAGCAACTTCGTCAGAAGTCATAGTTTCCGTTTCCACAAAGAAGAGAAATTGATAAAGACCTGTAAGAGTAAAAGTAAGGAATAAACACTTATGTTTTTAAAACTGAAATCCTTTACATTGCTAAAGATAAACCAGAGCCAAGACCTTTACTTCTTTAGGCTACATTACCATGTCTATAAAACAACAGGGTTTCCAATATGACTGTCAACTTCTTTCTCCTGTAAATTATTTTCTTCGCAGATCTTTCAGAAACTTCAGAAATAGGTCCATCAGCATGGGTCAAAGCAAAAATTCTAACCAAAGACAGGAAATTGTCAAAGAAAAAGAAGAAAGCACAAAGACTGCAGATTCCAGTAAGTCTACCTGTAGAATATCTTTGAGGCTTTCGACATTTGCAGGCATGGCTTGTTTTAGCTTGGTTTGTTGTTATTGAAAAGTATCATGTACACAGAATAGCACAGTACTGAAAAGATTGAAGATATGTACTTTACAGTTGATGGGAGCTTGCTACAACTTCTGTACTTACCTAAGTGTTGAAAATGTTTGGGTGGTTTTCAGTTTTGAATATTCCAGAATGCACATTTGTGGACAAGTCTTTATATGGACATAAGCTTTCAGTTCTTGGTTAAATGCCAATGATAAATGCATGTTTAGCTTTTTGAGAAAGCCCCAAACCATTTTCCAAAGATGCCATACTATTTTATGTTGCCACCGGCAGTTCTAGGCCTTCCCCATCCTTTCTGATCCTTAGTACGCTCAGGCTTTTAGACTTTCACTGGTCTAGTGAGTGTGTAGTGATATCTGATAGTGTTATTTAATTAGTATTTCTGTGGGGATTAATATTGTTAACTATCTTTTCATGCACTTCTTCATGATCTTTATATCTTCCTTTTTTAAAATTATTATGAGTCCAGACTTTGTGCACATTTTAATCATTTGGTGTTTGGCTTCTTGTTATTAGAAGGGTTCATGATATACTGTGTGCAAAGGCCTTGTGTTGCATCTATGTTTTGCAAATGTCATCTCAAAATCTGTGCTTTCCTTTTCACAGACATCATTTTAGAAACATCAAGCATTGATTCTGGTGAAATGTGTAATTTAAAAATTTTTCTTTTTCATATCATGTTAAAGAAAAATTCACCAAACTTTAGATCACCAAGATTTTCTCCTATATTTCTTCTAGGAATTCCATAATCTTAGCACTTGAATATAACTCTATGTGAGATGTTCAAAGTCCTGGAGTTAGAAAACCAAAAGGTCACCAGACAAAGAAATGTCTTTGGCATTTCTCAAGCTGAAAGAACTGGAGGCGAGGGGGGCAGGGGGAATTCACACTGTGAGTTTCAATAGTGAAGAACTCAATGGGAAAATAGTGACACTATCAGGATCAGCTAAAGAATATAGAAGAAATAAAAAGAATATAGAAAGAGTACATTGAGTCAACTGTACCAAAATGAATTAGTTAACTGTTTCAGGAGGTAAAATATGAGGGAGGTAGAAGGAGAAATGCCTTTGGTCTTGTAGGAAGAAATCCAAGCTGCATTGAAGGCATAGGCAGAAAACAAAGCTTCAGGAATTGATGAAATATCAGTTGTAATGTTACACAAACAGAAGCAGCACTGGAGATGTTTACTTAACTTTGTCAAGAAATTTGTCTGACAGCTTGTAGCTAACCAAGTGGAAGAGATGTCCAAAAACAGGTGATTCAACATAATGAGGAAATTATCAAACAATATTATCAATATCACATATACATAAAGTCTTGCTGAAGATAACTAAAAAAAAATTAATCACAGCAGTAAATTGTCAGGGAACTGTCAGAAATTCAAGCTGGATTTAGAAGAGGCTGTGGAACTAGGGGTACCGTTGCTACTGTCAAATGAATCTCAGTGACATTAGAGAATACCAGAAAAATACCTGCTTGTGTTTCATTGTACAAAGACATTCAAGTGTGTGGATGACGATTGATGGGTAGCATTGCAGAGGATTTGAATTTCAGAATACTTAATTATGCTCATTTGAAACCTACACATAGATATGAGGCAGTTGTTTGAATAGAATAAGAGGATGTTGTATGGCTTAAAATCAAGAATGGTGGACATCATGGTTGTACCTTTTACCATACTTATCGACCGGTATGCTGAGCAAATAATCTGAGAAACTGGACATATTAAGAAGAACATCACATCAGAGTTAGAGGAAGATTAAGTAGCATCCTGTAAACTGCAGATGGCACAACCTTGCTGAAAGTGAAGAGGACTTGAAAAACTTACTGACAGAGATCAAAGATTGCAGCCTATAACATACGTTACACCTTGACATAAAGAAAACAAAAATCCTCACAGGTAGACCAATAAGCAACACTAATAAACAGAAAATGTTGATGCTGTAAAGGGTTTAGTTTAACTTATGCCCATGAAAATTACAGTTAAATCAAATGATGGCAAACACTGGGTGGATTTGTTTAAAAAAACCTCTTTAAAATGGTAAGAGTAAAGCTGTCACTTTGAAGACTAAGGTGCACTAAACTCAAGTCATAGTACTTTGAATCATCTCATATGTATCGTTTGCAAGTTGGACACTGAAAAAGGAAGACGAAAGAAGAACTGACTCCAGCTCCTTGCACGTTTCAGTATAATATTTTGCCTTGTCTTCCCAAGCAGCCTTTTGAAATCTTCTATTCAGCTCCTTAACATCTTGATTTCTTCCCTTTGGTGGAGTTGGCAAAGAATATGGAATATGGCATGGGTTACCGGAAGAATGAACAAATCCACCTTGGAAGAAGTAGAGTCAGAATGCATCATAGAAACGAGGATGGCGAGCTTGTGTCACGTGATTTGGGCGTACACTCTGGACCGGTGTGTGGAGATGGGTATCATGCTCAGTAGAGTAGAGGTTCACTGGAATAAGAGAAGGCTCCTTGAGTGAGATGGATTTATGGAGTGGCTGCAGCAGTGAGCCCTAACATAGCCTGTGGATGGTGTCGAGATAGGTGGGGGCTGGGCCGTGTCTTGTTCTGTTGTACTCAGGCTTCCATGAGTCTGGATTATGTCACTGGCATCTCACAACAGCTCTTACATGTGGGCCTAGATCTTTTGGGTTTAATTTTTACATATGATAATAGGTAAGGATTATCATTCTGTCTTTTGACGTCCAAATTTTAGTTCTCTTCCCTTAATATTTATAATTGTGTGCCATTGAGTTGCAGAACCAACCCATAGCTGACCCACTAGAGGGTTTTCAGAGGATGCAAATTGTATGGGAGGAGATTGCCCATCTTTCTCCCTTGTCCCTTAATATTAGTGTTTCTCACAATGTGTTTTCCTCAAAGCAACGTGAACATTATCTGGGGATGTCCAAGAAGTGCGAATTCCTGCCCCTTCTCACTATCTAGAACCTCTGACTCAAATCTGTGGCCCCAGCTCGCAATCTGCACGTTAACGTAGCTCTTGTGGTAATTGTGACGTACAGTTTAGTTCACGAACTCCTGATCGAACACTGCTTCTCAGTCTTGACTGCAAATAGAAACCCCTCTGATGCCTGTGTTCTGCATCTTGAGTGATGGGAGGTTTTCATGTTTGTCTGGTTTGGGGTTTTGCCCTAAAGCGTCCCATGTGGTTCTGATGTGCAGTCAAGATTGACAATGGTCACTCTTTACCAGGGCACCTCCACTGATGTGACTCGGAAGGTTTCCGCTTGTCATTGTGTCCCAATGAGTTCCTTTATCTCCAGGTCATAACGGTCAACACCTGCTCTCAAATGGACCTGTTGAATTCAGAGTCAGGAGAAAACATCTCAGGAGAAGAGGAGTACAGCAAGAACTGGCTCACTGTGTCCAAATTTAGTCAGCTAAGTATGTAACAGTCTCCAGTTGTGGATTCTGAACATGTTGGGAGGGTTTTCTCAATGTACAGTCTTGAGACCACTGGTGCTCCCGGCTACTATTTCAAGTGGAAATGAGGCGGGAGAGAGAGGTGTTAGCACACTCTATGGAAATCATTCTCATGGTTTTAATCTTTAAGAAGGGGGAACATTTTCACTTATTTAATTGAACACATACTAGAATGCAGAAAAGAAAAACTAGATACAGTGTTTCACATTCAGAACTGTGAAATTTTGTTCAGAGTGTTACCTCAAAAAGCATTTATTTAGTCAGATTTATGGGGAGAGAGGAGGGTCTAATTTTCTATGTTCTTAAGAATTCTTTACAGAACTTATAAGAACTATGTATTAAAATGATATAGATTCTTAAGAACTAATATGATAACAGATCAAGGTTCATAAGGCCTCCACACATAACTCATTGAATTGAATTATGGTTAGCTATTTACTCCTGCCCTTATAAAGTGTTTGTTTTGTGATCAAATATATAGTAAGCTTAATTACGGTGTTTATAAAGTAGAGAAGATGAATCACCCAGTTAGAAATTCAAATTAGAAGCCAGGCAATAGTGTGAATGTGACAGAAACTTCTAGATAGATAAAATGAGGGTATTATGAACAGAATGGAAAGGTATCACAAGAATTTGAAATTCTTGCATTAGCTAATAAGAGAGATTATTAGTTTGTAAACACAGAAAACTTTGTGATTGAAAAGTCAAGATTAAGTCTTAAAATTATTAGGAGTATTAAACTTAAGGTACAAATAAACCTGACACTGAAACTTACCACACTTCTTTGAAGTCCAGCTTGCTTGGGAAAGTATAGAGGCATCAAAAGAGAGGAAGTCTCTCAACAAGAACTGACACAGTGACGGCAATAATGGACTTGAACGTGGCAGAGATTGTGAGACTGGAGAGGACAGGGTTTCGATCCATCGTTCATGGAGCTGCAATGAGTCGTAGTCGACTGGACAGCACCTAACAACACAAACTCCAGCTGTGCTTAGAATGTATGTTTATATCAAAGGCTCTTGATTAGGGGGCAATTTTCCACCATCCACAATCCATACTGGAGCATTTGGCAACGTCTGGAGAAAATGTTGCATGTCACAACATCTAGTGCATGGATATAGGCAAAGGTACTTTGAAATAGTTTGCAATGCATCGAACAGCCCTCACTCATAATAGAATAAATAGAGAATCATGTAGTTCAATTATCAGACTTACAGAAAAAATGTTAACCCAAATGACTTATTGGTCTGAGGAAGTGTTACCTCTTCTTTGAACCATCTAGAGTTGAAAATTTCCTGTTGGATGTATGTCAATATTAAGAAATTCTGATTTATAATGAAAATACTGTTAACTCTTCAAATCACTGAGAGTCAAATACACTCCAAATTGAAAGCGATATTAGAATCTAAGTCATTGAAAACTCTCTTTTAGTTTGCAGATAGGGCTGGAAAGATTAAATGTCTTATCCCAAATCACAGTTTGCCAAAACCCATAATTTTGAATTATCAATTACGTACTTTAAGAAATGATTGTAAGTCCAATGATAACTATATAAATTTCATTTGTAAATATTGTTTATATTATGTAGCATTCATTTATATTTTTAGAAGGTTAAAATGACAGTATACGACTTTAACTGGAATTCTTTCAATTCATTCAAATGAATTTTAGACAGCAAAACTGGTAGGAAAGTGCTGGGAAAGACTTTCTTTTTTTCTTATTTTGCATTTGTAGACAGGATTTTATTTTTCAGTTGGCTTTTGTACATTCATATACATTGTGTTTCATTCATGTACATTGTCATTTATGCAATCTTTGCTGTGCATTGTGTTTTGTACAATCATTCATATATTTTGTGTTTTATATAATTACTATTTATCAATGGATTTTCTCACCCTCTCTCATCCAATTCCCATTGCACCTTACTTTGCCTGTTCATTCATCCAAGCTGCTTAGTGAGTTTTCTTCCCTCCTCTTTCTTCTGATCCCCTTCTTTATTTTCCCGTCTTCTGGGAAAGAATTTCATAAAGTCAAATGAAAAAAGGGAGAGATGACTTAAAAAAATAGATATCCCAAGTGACTTGCTAGTCTTAGGAGATGATTGATAATTGATATTGTCTTTGAAACACATCAGGAATTGAGAATCTCTGGAAAAATTAAGAATTTATTGAAAAATAATTTAAAAGGAAAAAAGTTCACGTGAGTGTGTTGTGTCATTGGTAGAGAGAAATGCATTCCTTGGTAGTTCTCTTCAAACACAAGGTTCTGAAGAAATCAAACTGTTGTTATGTACTATCAAGTCGACCATGACTCATAGCAACTCTATGCACAAGAGCTCTGAACCCTGCTCTATCCAGTTTTACACACCTACCCTCCTTACCCCAGTTACTTTGTCATTCCATCTCATCAGTGGTCTTCCTCTCCTGTTCCATCTCTCCACCCTTCCAAGCATGATGTTCTTCAAGAACTGCTACCTCCTGGCAATATGCTCAAAGTATGTGAGACAGAGCCTCAACATCCTTACCTCCAATGAACAGCTTGGCTTCACTCTTTCCAGGACAGGCCTGTTAGTTCTCTTGGAAGTCCATGATATGTTCAATACTCTTTTCCAGTTCCACAACTCAAAGGCATTGATTTTTCTTCTGTCCTCTTTGGCCTTTGTCCAGCTTTCTGATACATAACAGGTAATTGTGAAGACCATGGCTTGGATCAGACACACCTTAGTCACTAGATTGACATTGTTGCTCTTTAGCACTCTGGCGAGAACCTTGACAGCAGATTTTCCTAGTGCAGTTAGGTTTGTTGTGTTTTTTTTTTTTGACCCCCAGTTAGTCTTTTGATTTCCTGACTGCTGGTGCCAAGAGTGTTGATTGTAAAGCTGAGCAAGCTGAAATTGTTAACAATCTCAATCTCTTCTCCTTCCAACTTGATGGTGCCATTTGGACCAGTTGTGAGAATCTTTGTTTTCTTAATCCATATTGCAGACTACAATCCTTGACCTTCTGCACCAAATGCTTCAGGTCTTCCTCAGTTTCAGCAGGCTAAATTGTCTTATCTGCATAACATAGGTTGTTGATGAGTCTTCCTCCAATCCTGATGCTACATTCCTCCTCATAAAGTCCTTCCTCCCAAATGATCTGTTCTGCATATAGATTGAAAAGGTATGGAGATAGGACATATCCCTGTTGTACACTTTTGTACTGATTTTGAGCAATATAGTGTTTACGTGCTCCATTCTGATGGCTGCCTCCTGGTTCGAATATAGGTTTTACATAGCACAACTAGGTGTTCTGGGATTTCCATTCTTCTCAAGGTTCTCCACAATTTGTTGTGATCCACAGTCAAATGCCTTTGCATAGACAATGCAACATCCTCTGGTGCTCTCTGCTTTCATCCAACATCCATCTGACATTTGCAGTGATATTCCTTTTGCTACGACCTCTTCAAAATGCAGCTTGTCTTTCTGGAAGTTGTCTGTCAATGTACTGTTCTAATTGTTTTTGGGTAATTTTCAACAGGATTAGTGATATAGCTCAATAATTTTCACACTCTGTCAGGTCACCTTTCTTTGGAATTGGAATAAATATGGATCTCTTCCAGTCAGTTGGCTAGGTAGCTGTGCTTCAGATCTTGGCACAGACTGGTGAGCACATCCAGGACTGCATCTGTTTGCTGAAATATGTCAAATGGTATTCCACCAATTCCTGGGGCCTTTCCCCTCCCACCAGCAATTCTTTCCGAGCAGCTTGAACTTCATCTTTCATCACCATTGCCTCTTGATCATATGTTGTTTCATGAAATTCTTCTTTGTCAGCCAATTCCTTTTGTTTGGTACAGTGACTTCATGTACTCCTTCCATCTTCTTTTGATGCTTCCTGTGTAATTCAATATTCTGCCCAATAGCATTCTTAAGTATTACACCTTGAGGCTTGAATTTGTTCTTCAGTTTCTTCAGCTTATGAAATGTAGAGTGAATTCATCCCTTTTGATTTTCTGACTTCAGCTCTTTGCATAGTATAATACTTTACTTTGTCTTCCCAAGCTGTCCTTTGAAAACTCTGTTTAGTTGGTTTCCTGATTTCTTCTCTTTGCTCTGACTTCTTGGCAGTCTAGTGCAATCTTCAGTCTGTTACAACATCCATCTTAGTCTCTTCTTCCTCTTCTGTCTTTGTAATAACCTTTTGCATTCTTCATGGATAATATTCTTGATATCTTCAATAGCTCATCTGACCTTTGCTCATTAGTGTCCAAAACCTCGAACCTATATCTGAGATGGTTTTTTAATTCAGATGGGATAGATTTAAGGTCAAATTTTGGTTCTTGTGGAAGAAATCAAATACACAAAGAGTAAGTATTAAGACTTTTAGCCTTTTCCATAGTTACTTTACTTGAAATATAATACTGTGAAATTATATTTATAATAATTGTATGATAGCCTGATATAATCAATATACAATATATGAAGTATTTTGACTTCTCAGTTGTTTACCTGCACTCCTTATCTGTACTCCCCGTTCAAAATCATTAGGGGGGGAAAAAACCTAACCATTATTTTCTACATTTTACCAGTGACAGTGATCTATTTATGTAAATGATTTATTGTTGTTTAGAATGTGTGTGACAGAACCTACACCAATTTAACAATTTCCACACATATCACTCAGTAACATCACATTCTTCAAACTGTGTGGCCATTCTTACTCTCCTTTTCCTCCTCCATTAACATCAAATCAAAATTACAGCCCCTAAGCTTCCTATTTAGTTTTTCAGATTGCTGTTGATAGTTTGCTTCTACATAGATAGTTTTTTTAAAAGTAGAGTGCTCAAGGTAGAAACTCTTTACTGATAATTAATATTAATGGGATGCTGGTTTAATATTTAAGGTTTAAGATTATGAGTTGAGATCAACTCATAGCTGATCCTGCAGCAGGCTTTCAGAGGCAAAAAGTCACACGGGAATTGACTACCTCTCCTTTTTCTGCAGAGAAACCAGCAATTCAAACCACTTGGTTTTGAGTTGAAAGCATAATGTTTGGTATTACTCCAGAGCAGCATTTACCAGTTTCATCCAGCATCAATGGATCAAAAAGTCTAAATTCCATGAGAATGTGAAAGTCTACCCTGAATTTCTCCCCTTTTGATCAGAATTTGTCAATAGGATCTTTAATAAAAATGTTTAGTAGTGGTAGCTAGGTATCTTTTGGTTTTCCTGCAAAAAATAGCCAGTTACTCTTACTAAATATTATTTTCAGAATTAATCCAGCTAGTCATTGATTAAATAATACCTAGATACCTACTATATGCCAATGACTTTGTTTGTGCCAGGTAGGGGAAAAAATACTAACAACAACCACCACCACAACCACTTTATCCTGTAGATGCAAAAACTAAAATTGTAAACAATTTTATTTCCTTGCTTATGGCATTGTAAAGGAAGGATGCCTAACATTTTGAAACTTAAATGCCAAATCTTTTAAATAAGGCTTCAGAGATAGGGTGCAGAGAAAGGCAAATACAAATACAAGTTAAAATTAGTTAGGATCTATAAAAGGGGAAAATTACTTGGGGTTTCTGGGTAATATGAACTGTTAAGTACCTGACTATTGGCTGAAAGGTTGCTAGTTCAAACTCAACCAATGGTACCTCAGAAAGTAGGCCTGGTAACCTGAAAAGCTGCCAGCTTGAAAACCCGATGGAGTGGCTCCAATCAACACACATGGGATTGCCATTAGTTCACAGTAACTAACAACATCAACATGGATAATTTAATTTTTAAAGTAATGTTAGCAGAAAAATATTTGTTATGAGTGTAAAGGATTTGTGGATAACTGGAAATAGATTATATAATTTTCATCCATTTCCAGAAAGAAAAGGATAAAAACCACTTGATAAAATTTGCACAAAATAGAAAGTGAAAACTAAGTTTAGACAAATATCTTTTATTTAGCTTTTGCTGTTTGAGAAATGTAATGTGAATGTAAACATTTTCATGTATTCATTTTCTTGTCTTTTCTTTACAAGGTTTAGAACCTTACATATATCAGAAAATAAAAAGTAGAGAAATTGAACGGCATGCTGTGCAAGTCAGTGATTACTTACAGCAATCTCAAGAGGTAAAACCATTTTATGTGATGACAATTTTTTTGAACAGCACTCATGCACTTCATTGACTTTCACTTTTTAAAAAAAATTAGCTTATGTTTCTTTTTTATGATCATTAAACTTCGATCTTGACTTCAAAGCTATCCACTGAATTTCTGCTATAATTTTTTTTTCAACCCCCTACATTATTTTTTCCTAGCTCTTATAAAAATTATAAACATCCACTCAGTGATTTATTCTGGGGATGTTTGGTTTGGGATGATAGAGTAAAAGGTATCAGCACTTTTCCAATTCTGATACTATTTGATTTTTCATTCTGTGTAGTCATACCATCTATCATGACTTGATTTCATAGGTGTCATTCACCTTGTGAAAAGCACAATCTGATTAGTATAAGACATCTAATTTTGGAATTTATGTATTATCTATATGAACTTTGAAGTGATATTTCCATTGAAAACCTCAGAGGGTCTTGGAGTATAATCTGTGAAAGATATTAAAAATCAAATGTAAGCCTTCTTGAAGGTAATTGAAGACAGGGATCGATTCTGAAATCTTAAGTCCAGAATTATATTAGGTAATAAATCTAACATAGTTAGCTAACTCTAGTTTATAAATCTAGAGCATTCAGGTGGCTTAGTCCGTAGGAAATTATACTCCTGGTCCAAACTCTGGCAGTTCAAAGCCGCCTGTGACTCCAAGGGAGCAAGATAGACCATCTTCTTGAAAACCCACTGGAAGGTCAGCCATGAGTCCGTTCTGACTTGATGGCAATCAATTTAGTTAGTGGTTTGGTTTATTTATTTATTTTTAAATCTGCTGTTTCTTTAAAATGAGGCTTGTTGATAAGTCCAAACAAAAATAACAGCCAGAAAATTCCTAAACTAAAGCTCAGAGTGGGTTGTTGTTTTGTTATTATTAGGTGCTGCCCTAGTCAACAACTCGTAACAACCCGATGAACAGCATATGTGAACCTTGCCTTATCATGATCCTCAAGATCTCTGATGTGCTGGTTATAGTCACTGTATCGAACCATCTTGGGTGTCTTCTCTTTTTCTGACCCTCCACCTTTTCCAGCATGATGTCTTCTTCCAAGGGTTTTCCCTCTTGACAACATACATTTCCTCTAAGACAGACTTTATATGTTCTTTTTCACAGTAAATGGAATATTTTGTACTCTTTGCCAACATTGCAATTTAAAGATAGTGATTCTTCTGTTATCTTAATTCACATTCAACTTTCAGATACATAGGCAGCAGTTGACCACACCCTCCATGACTTGGATCAGGTACTCCCTAATCTTTAAAGTGATAACTTTGCTCTTTAGTACATTGGAAGTGGTCCTTAAGGGTAGATTTTCTCAATGCAGCAGAATTGCATCTTTTGAATTCTTGACTACTGTTACTATGGGTGTTGAGTGTGGATCCAGGTAAAATGAAGTCATTGACAAAATCAGTCTTTTCCCCATCTATCATGATGTTGTCTATTGGTTCAGTGGTGAAGATTTTTATTTTCTTGATGTTGAAATGTAATCCATACAGATCTTCTGCTGCGAGTGCTTCAAGTCGTCCTTGCATTCAGCAAGTAAGGTTGTGCCATCTGCATAAGACAAGTTGTTAATGAGTTTCCCTCCAATCCTATTGCCACATTCTTCTTTATTCATATAATCTCTCTTCTAGAATGATTTGCTCAGCGTTGAATAGGTATGGAGAAATGATAAAACTCTCACACACATCTTTCTTGCTTTTAACTGTACAGTGTCCCTTGATCTGTTTGACAATAACTTCTTGGTTTCTTGGTTTTATATATAGGTTTTGCATGTGCACAATTAAGTGTTCTGGAATTTTCATTTTTCTCAGTGTTATAATCTGTTATGACTCACAGTATCAAATATAAATTTTCTTTTTTTTAAGAGGGATCTCAGCTCTTATTAGGTCAGCAGAAAAGTTACTGACAAGATCTGAGATGTGATGATGGAGATGTGCCCCAGGATCGCTGTTCAAATGTCCTTGATCAGTCAATAAAACACATTTTATTATAGTATTCTCTACTTTCAGCCATGATCCATCTGACACCAGAAATGATACATGGGTGCCATGGTCTCTTCTCAATCTGTCTTGAATTTCTGGCAATTCCCTATTCCAGCCACTAATTAATAATCTTGGAAGCAGGAGTGGCATCCAATTCCTAAACAAGATGCCTCCAGAGACTATGAACTTTGATAAATATGGATAGGTAGAGAAAGCCTTCAGGGCTTTTGTTCATAGGGTCGCCGTGAGTTGTGCTTGACTCAAAGGCAATTCACAACAACAACAGCAACAGTTAATAATCTTCAACAAAATTTTGCTTGAGTGTGATATTAATAATATTGCTTGATGCATTGTTGGATCACATTTTTGGGGGAAGGGAAAAAATGATGATCTCTTCCAGTCAGATGGCTGTGTATCTGTGTTCCAGATTTCTTGGCATGGTCTAGTGGGGATGTCTAGAGCTGCATCTCACTGATTCCTGGGGACTTATTTTTTGTTCATGCCTTCTCGGCGTCTTGAACTGCTTCATTCCTGGCCATTAGTTCTGGATCATATACTACGTCCTGAAATGGTTCATTGTGGACCGGTTCGTTTTGGTACAGTGACTATGTGTATTCTTTTCATCTTTATTTTTTTCATGTTTCTTGCACAATTGAAGATATTGCCCTTCAGTTTTATATATTTTTTTCTATATTTTATTAATTTTCATAAACATTTACAGAGATTTTGGGTTTCCATTCATTCATTGTTGCACTATTCTCTCTACCCTCTTCCCAGTTTGTTCTTGTCCAAATGCCACAGTGCTTGTCAAAGCCAGTTCTGATTAATCTTCTTTGTCAGTGTGTCCTTTGCCATTCCCTATCACTCCTCCCTGAGAGAGACTTCACCCTGAGTCATAAGGAAAAGAGGATGGCGTATTCTCTTAGCTACTTCCTGCTGAAAAGGGACGCTGTGGGTTTCAGGGTGAAGATCTTCTCTCACTACTCTAAAGGGCCCCTTTGGCAGTAGGAAACACATAGACTATTATGGAGATTGATTTTGGGATTTAGATGCACTCTTATTGATTGTGCTTGGCCGTACATGTTCATATCCTTGAAGATGTATCATGGGGGTGTTGCAACCTAGAAGACACAAATTTGACTAACAAGTTATAAGTACATGAGTCCAAAAATTATGGAAAAGTAAAAGAAAAGATTCTTTCATTGTTTTACAAACCACCATGTAGCCCTCGCTCTAGTCTCCTGTGATGACAGAAATACCTAGTTATATATCTCTTTTAAACAGTTTTCTCCCAGTTTTATATATTGAGGTTTGAATTTGTTTGTATTTTTATTCAGCTTCAGAAAAGCCAAGCATGTTTTCCCCTCTTGGTTTTCCAACTCTTTGCACATTGAGCTAGAAAATGTTTCTTTGTGTCCTTGGGCTGTTCTTAGAAATTTGTCCAGCTCTCTTACTTCACCATTTCTCCCCCTTTGTTTTGGTCTTTCTGTGTCCTATTGCAATTTTCAGAGTTTCTTCTAACATTTATTTTGGTTTTTTCTTTCTTCTCTGTCTTTGTACTAACCTTTTACTTTTTTAATTTAAAATTGATTATTATTATTATTAATTATTATTAATTTCAATGAGCATCTACAGAGATTTTGGAAACATTTGACTTTTTTTGTGGATAATATCCTGGAAGTAATTTTGCAACTCATCTGATCTTTGATCATAAGTGTTCAGGGCATCAAATCTATTTTTGAGATGGTTTTTATGTTCAGGTGGGGTAGATTTAAGGCCATATTTTGGTACTTGTGGACTTGTTTTACTTCCCATGAGCTTGAATTTGAACTTACACATGAATAATTGATGATCTGTTCCACAGTCAGCCCCTATCCTTGCTTTACTGATATTGAATTTTTCTATAGATGTAGTCAGTCTGATTCCTGTGTAGTCCACCAAGTGAGGTCAATTGGTATAGTTGTTATTTTATAAAAAGTATTTTAAATGAATAATTCATTGATTGTACAAAATTGTGTCTTGCCATTTCCAGTCTCATTTTTGTCACCATGTCTTTATTTTCCAACTAACAGCCCTTTTTCTTTGTTTCAACTTTTATATTTCAGTCATTCATTAATAAAGAAAATTTTTTAATAAGTATTAGTTGAATCTAATAGGAAATAGAATAAGGAACATGCCAAGAACATATTCTTCTTCTATGTAAAACTACCTTATTTTAAGTTGACTTTTAATATTTATCATTCCTATAAATTACAGCCATCAACAGAAATGTCAAACTACTGATGGTAAAACACGCTAATGTCGTTATCTTGTTACAATGTTGAACCAGGGTGGTTGTCTGTTGACTTTGATCTCTATCCTAACTTTCATGTCATTGACTGATTTCAGTTAACTTTTGCATATTTTACATTTCTTTTTCACTTAGTCCCATATAAGTGATTTTTTGGGGGAGGTTAAAAATCCATTACAAGATTGAAATCCATCTCTCATTGCTGTAGAGTTGGAACTGACTCCTAGTTGACCCTTCAGTGTGTTTCTGCGGCTGTAAATGGCATGTGAGACGATTGCCTCCATTTTTCTTGAGAGAGGCTGATGGAGTCAAAATGCCAGCGAGTTGTTGTCTTTGAGTTAGCAGTGCAACCCCCTACCCACTAGCCTTCAACTCAATTCCTCTGTCTAGTCAGAACCGACTCATGGCTGATCCTCCAGTGTGTTTTGGGGCCTGTCAGATGCACCAGAAGAGACTGCATATCGTTCTCCTTCAAAGCAGCTGGTGCATTTGAACTGCCTGCCTTTGGACTGTTAACTCAGCTCCTTATCTACTTGGCTACCAGATCTCCCTTGGCCTTAAGTTGCCCGTGTATTGTGCTAATATTAGTCATCTTTCTGGCCTGGGTTTAGAATATAGATTAAAAGAGGAATACTGTGCTAGATGAAGAGGGGGAGGAATCTATCCTCTAGAGAATGTGTTTTGTGATGAGGTTACTGGAAGCTGGATGGGAGTTGGCCAGTTGTACATGTAATGACCTCTCCCTTCTGTTCAGGATCTGAGCAAAAGCTCTCGGTGGGATTCCAGGAGCACCACCCTCAGCAGGACCTCCCTGTGAGTATTCCAAAATGTTTCTCTTTAAGCATCTTTGACTTCTATTTTTAAACCTGACTGGAGCAAAGGATTAGTTTGTTCAGTAAAGGGAAAGGGATACATGTCAAAGAGCAATTATATTTTTCATGTATTAGCAAGAAAGAAAATAGAAATTTATTCTCCTGTTTCCTGTCTTTGGCAACAAAATCTTGCTTCTGTGCTTTTAAAGACTATGATGAAATGTACGCCACCACAACTTTACAGGGTCAAAAAAGTGGTGCCATGATTAGTGTCTCCTTTTTGATAGATAAAATAGTGAATTTGTGTTAGAGTGAAAATAAGTCTGCTTTACCTGGATAATAATACTTAGACTAAAGATCTGATTATATTTTCTTTTCTTCTAAAATAAGGTCCCCCCTTTATTTTATGAGGTTGAATTTTCTTATTTCTGTAAGGAGGGTGTTTCACTAATGTTCTAGTTATTTACCAAAATTATAGGATGGATGGAGTATGTGTGTGTGTGTGTGTGTGTGTGTGTGTGTGTGTGTAGAGAGAGAGAGAGAGAAAGAAAGAGAAAAGGCTAAGGGGAACTAATATGTTTGTGAACTTAAATAACATCCTGGAATGGCATTTGTTCAGAGAAGTAACAGTGAAGCACGAGGATACTAATTCCTAAGTTGGTAGTTCAAATTCACCCAGAGATGCCTTGGAATAAAAGCCTGGCAAACTACTTCCAAAATGTCTCAGTCATTGAAAGCCATGCAGAGCACCTTTCTCCTCTGACATGCATGGGCCACCAAACTTGGAATTGACACAATGACTACTGTTTGGATTTTGACTTACTGTTTTCTTAGTTTTATTTATCCGTAGAAGTAAATTTTGAAAACCAATCAAGCAAAGATTACGATTTTCTCTTTTTGGGTATTTTCTAGATTTTCCCAGTTACATCATCAAACTGACCATCCTTAGAGCTATGGCATTAGTCGGGAGGAGTATGGATTTAGAACTGTCTACAGAGTCCACATTTAGTTGGGTCACCTTTCATGAGAATAAGGACGAATATTAATTTCTTCCAGTTAGTCAGCCCAGCAGCTGCCCTCCAAATGCTGACAGACTCATGAACACATCCAGGGCTGTGTCTGTTATTTGAAATAATGTCAGTTGGTATTTCATCAATTTCTGAGGCCTTATTTTTTGCCAATGCTTTCAGTGCAACTTTAACTTTTCATTTCATTGCCCTTGACTTCTGCTTTTATTTTTTGCCCTGAAATTTTTCAGTGTTAAGCCAATTCTTTTTGATACAGTGACTGTATTCTTTCCATCTTCCTTTGATGTTTCTTCAAGATTTTATCAAGATAGTATCTCTCAGTATTGCAACTCATGGTTGAAGTTTTGTTTTTGTTTCTTTTTTAGTTCTTTCAACTTTAGAAATGCTGAGGGAATTCTTCCCTTTTCATTTGCCAACTCCAGCTCTTTGCTCATTTCATGATAATATTTTACTTTGTCCTTTCACATTACCCTTTGAAATCTTCTGTTCATCTCCTGCTTTGACATCTCTTCCCTTTGTTTTGGCTTCTCGTCACTGTAGTGCAATCTTCAGAGTCTCTTGACATTCATTTTGGTTTTGCTTGCTTAAAGGGAAGAGGACCTGAAATTCTTGCTACAGAAGATCAAAGACTATGGCCTTCAATATTGATTGCATCTCAACATCAAGACGACAATAGTCCTCATCAGCTGATAAACAACTTCATGATAGATGGAGAAAGGACTGAAATCATCAGCTCTTTCATCTTACTTGGATTCACAATCAAGAACCTTGGTACCAATAGTCAGGAGATTAGGAGGTGTATTGCATTGGGCAAGTCCACTGTCAGGGTCTTCTCCAAATTACTGAGGAACAGTGATGTTAGTTTGAAGACAGATGTTCTTAGGCCATGGTTTTTTCCATCACTTGTAATGCATCTGAGAGCCAGACAGTGAATAAAATGACAGAAGAATGTGTACTTTTGAATTGTGGTATTGGAGAAGAGTATGAAGAAATAGATATGTCTTGGAGAAAGTGCAGCCAGAATGCTTCTTGAAGACTAGGATGATGAAGCTTTATCTCACATACTTTGAACATGTTGTTAGGAAAGGCTATTCCTTGGAAAGTGGTATAATGTTTGGAAAGGTGGAGGGTCAGTGAAAAAGAGGAAAGACCTTTCAATGAAATGGATTGACACAATGACTGGCAATGGGGTCAGATATGTGAGAGATGATAAGGATGGCGCAGGACAGAACAGGGTTTAAATATGTTCATAGAGTTGCTAGGAGTTGTATTTGACCCAGTGGTACCTAACAACGACAACAACACTCTACAGAAGGGCTAATCGATACTGGCAAGCTAGAAGGTGACTTTCCATTGGTGGTAAGCTTCTATTTGAGATGGTCTTTCCTTTGGAGCTCCCACCATACCCTCCATGTGGGCCTTCAGACTCCAAGTGCACATGACTTTTCACCCAAAGGTTCAGTCGTTTGTGCTCATGCAGAATGGTGGGTTATTGCAGCATGAAATTAAACAATAGTTGTGATTGTACTTTCTTCCCTAAGGACCTTAAGTATTGGAGTTATTCTTTGAATGCATTTAACCACACTTGCCCATGGCCACGTGTGCACACTAGCAGGGAAAGGGAACGATTTAAACAGAGCTAATTTCAGCCCGTGAACATTTAGGGGCCACGTGGGCTAATGAAACTGATTTGTAGGCTTGTCCAGAGATATTCACAGACTCATTTGTAGGCATCTGCTTTGCATAGTTCAGGAACTCTTTCGTTTAATTCATCCAGAGCAACTCAAACACTGTCAGATCTTGTATATATTGTCTGATTACATAGCTAATTAAAGAAAACAACTACTTTTAGTTAGCTTCCGGCATAGAGTATTTTTGTTTACTCCCATGACTATCTGGTGCACATTTTACTGTGGAAATAACTGTAGGATGGTAAGTTATTTAACGATAGAGACGGTGGGCGTATGTAACTGATACTTAGCTTTCTAAGATTTTGACGTGTGAATTCTATTAAGGAGCTTCAGTAGCATAGTGATTAAGTTCTCAGTCCCCCCAGCCCCTCTGCTTCTGTAAAGATTACAACATTACAAACCCACGGGGCAGTTCTATTCTGTCCTGTAGGGTGGCTGTGAATTGGAACTGACTTAACACCAACAGGATTTTTGTTGTTGCTTAGGTGTCATCCCACATGATAGAACAAAACCACTCCCTTGGGTTTTTTAGGTTGTAGTTTTCACAGAGACAGATCACCAGGTTTTTTTTTAGTCCAAAGAGTTGCTGGGAAGGTTTGAACTGCTAACCTTTCAGTTAGTAACCTAGTGCTTAACTGTTGTGCAACCAGGGCTTGTTAGATATACAGTTGCTGCTGCTCTTCCACATTATTCCTTTCTCTGATCATTGAAGACCTTAAAGTGTGATTTAAACTATTTTCTTTTCAAACAGGTTGAGAAGTTCAGATGGAGTTGATAGTAAGTTGTTGGATTTTTTAATAATTTAAAGCTTCCATTTTTTTTACTCTTACTAATTAGGCGCTTCACTGTGTCTGCCTGAGCTTTTTATAGATTTGTAAATTCTGTTTATGATTTTTGTTTACAAAGTAGAGAGAGTGCTGGTGGCTCAGTCTGTCAGGAGTTGTGCAGTGTACCTCAAGGCAGCTTGTTTGAATCCACCGTTATGTCTGAGGGAGAAGGAGGGGCAGTTTCTTCCCATGGGATTTGGTTAGTAGTTTCTGAAAACCCACTTGAGGATCAGCTGTGAGTTAACTCTGACGTAAAAGCAAGTACGTTGTGGCATACGAAGTAGAAAGCTCAGTAAAAAGGTAGAAAATTTAATATCTTTTTTAAATTTTTTTTTGAAAATTTGATATCTTTATCTAGATGAATCAAGATTGTTGTTTGGTTTTAAAAAATTTAAGTTATTTCTGTTTTATTGTGATTTCATAGTTCTTTTCCTAGGTAAGGGTATGGCCACTGAATTAATTTCCACTATATTACAACTCAATCATTTGTTTACACATGGCTCGTTCTGAGCCATTCTTGAGATCCTATGTAGATGCCTTCTTTTGCATAGTTTTAATAGAACTCAGTGCCCAGCATGCCTCAGTAGAGATCTACGCCATGTAGGACAGCTCCCAGGTTAGGTCCTTATAGAAGCTACTCTCAAACATCTTCAGTCTCCAAGCTCCTTTCCTTATTTGATGTTCTTCACTCATTTGATGCATAAGTGGCACCTTTTCCTTCTAGGATCCTGTTCGATCCCACTCTTCCAGGTTTTCATTTCATGACCTTGTTTGCAGTTGATTTGTTCTCAGACTATGTCGATACTATTATTAAAATATTCTTGATTTTATTTGGCTTTCAAATTCCCTCGCTTTTCTGCCACACCTATCACCTCAAGAAGCTCTGGTGCCCTATTGGTAAGGAGTTGCGATGCAAACCCAAAGGCTTGTGGTTGAATCCTCTAGCAGCTCCATGGTAGAAGAATCGACAGTCTCCTTCTGTGCAATTTACTGCCTCTGAAAACCCACTGGAGGATCAGCTAGGAGTAGGTCCTGGGTTGACCACACATAACAACATCCCTCACCCTAAATGAATTGAATGAGCTGGTCTTCAGCTGGCTGCCCATCATTTCTGTCGCCACCACTCCACTGAGACTCCACTGCCCTGGAAATGGGGTGCCTTCTTTTCAGTCTCATCTAACTTGTGGCATTTTATCCTGATCATTTGACTCTTTTTTTGTTTGTTTTTGTGAGCCTCTTCTTCCATGGTTGGCTTTTTTTTTTGGTTGCCTGGCTCTTGGTCACTTTGCCTGCCTGTCTTTCCTTTACCCAAGCTGGGAATCTCAGTCACTTCACATCCTCTTCCAATCCAGCCAGCCCCATTTTGCGGCCAGTCTCCCCTAACTGCAGTCTGCCCTCAAGCATCTTTGGAAGCTTTCTGTTTTGCTCTATGCCACAGTTCCTGGGAGGCCCTTCTTTCCACATCACCATGAAATCAAGTCCACAAATTGTCCACAAGCCTTCATGGACCCACTCCCCAAACTCTCTGACCCCATTTCCTCTCCACTCACATCATTTGCCTGGCTACCTGTTTTTTAATTCCACTCAAACTCAATGTCATACAGTTGTAATCAGCTCATAACTGACCCACTAGTAGGTTTTCTGAGGCTGTACATTGCACAGAAGGAAATTCCCTACATTTCCCCCTTTGAGCCATTGGTGGATTCGAACTTTCAAAGGGTCACAACCTTTCAGTTGAGAGCATCACAACCTATGTGCCATACCACCAGAATTCCCTATGCATTACATATCTTATAGTTTGCAATCTTTCTCTCTAGTATATCTTTTTTTCCACTAGAGTAGATTTGATATCCTTAGTACATCTCATCATGCCTAGCAAGAGCCATTAGTGGAATTGAAATACTTTAAAAAAATTTTTTAAGAGAATCAGCCTTTCCTGCTGATCTTACTTTTTACCAGGCACCCCCATAGGAGGTGATTCTTGTTCCTTTACTCATCCAGCAACAAGAAGCCGGAGAGATTTGTAAAATTAGGCTCATTATGGTGCTTACTCTGTGAGGTATAAAGCAGTTGCCACCATGAGACTGAAACTCTCTGCTTTAATTTTGCTTTTATCAAATGGCAAAACTGATGCGGAGGGTTTCTCTGAAGCCTTATAATTTAGGGCTTGAGCAGAGAGAAGAGAACCAGTTAAACTTGGAGGAGATGTTCCCAACACGTAGTGCCCTGTAACCAAGCAAATCCCTAGGTGGTGGATTACCCACACTTTCCTTTGTTCCTGGTAATATGACTTAATGTGTTGTCATAATTTCCACATTATTTTAGGTCAGTAAAGGAGTCTGTGAATAACTTGGTATTAATAATGTCTTTATATGGATACAGTATTTTGGTAGGGAGCTTGGAGGATTGTGCTTTGGAGATGTCATGAAGTGTGATGGGCAGCTGAGCGCCTTCTGCAACCCAGAGGTGTAATTGGTTCAGAGGAAATACATCTTTGAGGCTAATATTACCTGTCTTTCCTCAATTCCCTGTATAAATATGTTTGGAGATATTACATTGATGATTGGAAGCTGTCAGGATACCATGAGCAATAATGTGGTTAAAGAATATTAGGCAATCTTTTTTTGAATACTGAGAAACCATTCTGATTAACCTGTTCAATAATAACTTTGAAAGCAATATATTCATAAGCATGTATTTATCTCGAGCCAAGTAATTAAAATGCCAATCTTCTCTATAATTTCAGAAATCTCAGCCTCCTTAAAAAGCCCCCCAGAGCCTCACCATCATTATTCAGGTAGGATGCGTGTGCACATAGACATGTCAACTGAGCTAAACATCTGTGGGCCTGCTTTTGCAAACAGGTACATTGGTGAGCTCTCCAAGATTGCTCTGGCTCCCCCTTGAAGAGTTGTGGTTCATGATCTGAGAAGAACATTTCAATTTCTTACCTTGCCACAGATTGGGAAAAATGAGTTACTAGGATTTAAGAGAACTTGGGTGTGGGTTTTTGATGTTTTGGGTTTTTAAAAAAATGTTTTTATTGAGCATGTTCTAAATGGGGCAGGAGAAGGATGATCCTAGGACCCAACAAATCCTTGCAAATGCAAAGCCAGCACCAAACCAGAGCTCTCAGCATTTTAGGTTGGGGAAGACACAGGCCTGAAATCAGTTCCTTAAAGGGATTTTAACCCTCTCTGGGCTCTTTGTGAACTTGACTCCTGAATTAATGCCAACCCCATAGAGTAAGATCAACAAAGACACTTTACAAAGACATTATTAAACAAAGATGTCAAGGGCTTTGACTCTCTTAAGCAACATCACTTTACAGTGCTTCAGTTGTCTTGCTTTCAAAGTGGGAATAATTGGACTTGCCCTTTCTGAGGAGCAGTCTGCCAAAGGACTAGTTGAGAATTAAGAGGAAAACACTTTGAAATGCAAAGTAATATAACAACTAACTGGACTCATGCCATGGGGTGGTGTCTAAGGAGTCCTTGATCTCAACACTGGGTAGACAATACATGGCAAGTATTCCACACAATCTAAGGTTCACTGCCTGCATAAAAGTTTATTGGTTCTATCATTAGTATTATTAGTATATTAAGGTCATTTGGTTAGGATCTAGCAATAGATTATACTGGATTCTCCTTAGTAGTGAAAAAACATTTCTGTAGTTTCCTGATTCCTCACTCTCCATTACTAGCTCCTATATCCCTGTCCCCAGCACAGCAGTGATCTATTATTTTGATTCTACCTGTCAGCATAAGAAAGTCTGTACTGAGGAGTGCTGTAACTCCTGCTTGCTCTGATCTACTATGATAGAGCTCTTAACGCAGACTGTAGATCACTTGCTTCTAATTAAAATTGTTGTTCAGCTCTCTTTGGGATATGAATGTGAACTGTGCACAGTTAACAGCAGAGGTCCCCATAGTCCACTGTGTATTAGATTTCCTCTGGAAAATGGAAAGCCGAGAACGAAGACCGCAGATTAAAATGCCATTTAAAAGAGAGTCCCACATATGCATGGATTAATATAGATTTGGTTCTTAGGAGAATAGAGGTGATAATCCTGCTTCAGACTGTGTTATATAATCTCAAATAATCTGTTCCTGTGTACGGCATAAAAAAATCATCAAAAGCATCAAAATACTATTTTTAAATTACATTTTAGATACTGTTATCAAAACACATAAAAATAAAGGATCTGTGATGTGAAACAGTTTCATGCTATCTGAATATATTGATATTAATGAGGCTTTTTATAAATGTAACCAATTGGTACATACTTACAATAGTATATCTGTGTGTGTGTGTGTGTGTGTGTGTGTGTGTGTGTGTGTGTGATGTATGTATGTAGAGGGGGTGTGTATGTGTGTAACAAAAAAAATTGCCATTTCCATTAATGACATTCATCGTGTTGTGCAATCAGAGTGACTGCCTGTTTCCAGTTTTTTCCATGACCCTTAAGTAAATCTGTTTTTGTTTGCAGCCATTGAAAGGAACAATTTAATGAGGCTTTCTCAGACCATACCATTTACACCAATCCAACTGTTTGGTGAGTGCCATTTCTGTCTTCTTGTGGGTGTGCCAAGATAGTCATAATAACATCTAAGCAAATCAAAGAGAAGCCTCATTTGCATCATTGGAGTTTAATTTTTTATTTTGATGGTGGTTATAGTTTAGAGCAACCCATTTCCTAAAATGGGAACTCTTGTTAACCACATGGTCAGCATCTACAGTGAGAATCTAACACTGTGGGGATGGGACCTCTCCCGAGCAGCTGCTGGGAAGAACGCGGTGATGTTGCACCTGGCATTCATTGACTCAAGACTGGAAGTAAGTTGGAAAGAAAGGGACAATCCACCCGTGCATAATATTCACAGAAGGAAGCGATCAATGTCAACATGGTAGAAGCCAATACGCGTCCGAAGAGAAATGCTTTGTATATTATTTCTCATTTGTTTGTTTTGTTTCATGTCTACTAATTGCTCTTAGCTAAGAAAGAAAATGTCATTTATAAAGGCTGTAATAGTAAAGGAAAAGAAGTTCTCATTAATCCAGGCTTCTACATTGTGGGGTAGAGGTGGTCACTGTTCACTACAGATTGTTAAGTAAACACAAGTGAACCTGTGTCTACCTTGTTCACTGGATAGCCCATCTCTGTCAGGGATTAAAAATTTGAAAAGATGCTTTGATTCTGCAAGAAGGTGATGTGGGATTGGGAAAGGGGAAGATACCAGTTGTACCTAGAAGCAGAATCTTTGATGTGGTGGAAAAAAACCCTGTGAAACTGTTCACTACAGAGGAGTCAGTAAACACAAGCAAACCTACACTTTCCTTGCTTGTTGGGCAGTGCAGCCCTGCTACCAGAGGTTCTCGGCCCACAGTATTAAACATGAGCTGATTGGCACTCTAATAAGGGTTTCTTTGCTGCTTTAGCTCTTCATTCCCTCATACTGTTTACACACGGCCAGATCCAATTGGCTTCTGAAGGTCTTTAATATAGATGTCATGCGACACTTTTTTTTAAATAAAATTTTTATTTTATACTTGTTTACTTACAAAGTTCATACACATTGTTTTTGACTCCAGATCTTTCCCCTTTCCTTTACCCACCCCTCCCTCTACACATCAAGTTGTGAAACCTTATGATTAAGCCTTCACTCCTCTACTTCCCTGTCCCCACTTTGTCCTCATCCACGTTCTACAATGATACTTTTAACTATAACTTTTTTAAAAAAAAATCTTTGTCATTTAACTGGCTGCCAAGAAATGTTACTGAGCATGCTGTTGTTAGCTGCCATCGAGTCAGCCCTGCCTCATGAGAACACAGTGCAGAGTGGGTGCCCCTGTGATCCACAGGGCTTTCATTGGCTGGCTTTTCACCAGGCCTTTCGTCTTAGCTTTTGTTGGTCTGGAGTTGCTGCTGAAATCCATTTGGCATCATAACAACATACACACTTTCTCATAGATGGGTGGTGACTGTGTTTGAGGTGCATTAACTGAGAACTCAACCTGGGTCTCCTCTTGGAAGAGAATTCTGTCACTAAATGACTGCTGTTTCTGACTATGTAGTTTGGGGGTATATGTTTTTATATGAAGTAAAATGCAAAAGGAAATGAAAGGAATTTTTTTTAAAAAAAAACACAACAAACATAACAGAGATCATAAAAAGCCATGTGATGCCAGGTATTAGAAGATTAAACACAACTCCACAGAAGCTGTGTATATGTTATTGTATTAGGTATAGCATAAGCTAAATAGTAAGAATTTCTCCTTGTTCAATAGCCTAAAAGTAGACGCTGTATAGCAATTGAAAAGCACTTTGTACTCAAAGTCTTTTCAGTAGGATTGAGTTTGTATATAAGGCACATATTTAATCTTTACAACAGCATGAGGTAAGCATTATGTTTAGTCCCATTTTACTGATGAGGAAATTGAGGCTTGAAATAACTTGTCCAAAGGCAAAAAAGCTGAAAAGAGAGGATGGAAATAAGACCTTGGAAATATGTAATTCTGAGTTAAATCATATATTTTCAATAGATGATTCTTAAATTCACTTCCAAACGGGCAAAAAACTCTTTTTATCTATAAAGCATAATTATACATGCACTTTATGAAGGGATACACAGTTTGTCTGTGGTATTAATATTTCATTAAGGGGAACAATTGAGACCAAAAAAAAGTCTGAATAGGTTACTTCAGTAACAATTCACTGAGTTGGATACTCCTGTGGGCTTCCAGAGGCTGTAAATTGCAGCGGAAGGTGATTGCTCCTTTTTACCGAGCACAACAGCCAGTGGATTCCAACTACCTGCCTTTGGATGGACAGTGCAACTCCTTACCCATGAGGCCACCAGAGTTCTTGGATAGGTTATGTAGGGAAATTATGATGAGCATTCTAGAAGGATTTCTTTAATGAAAGCAATACTATCCTCTGCTATTGTGATTGTATTGTTGCCTATATTTGTCCAGCAAGAATAACTTCTTCTTGTATATCCCTCGATGCATTGTCTTGTCAGTTCGTGTCCTTATTTTGCTTTAGTTATTGCATAGGTTTGATTCCCATTCTCCTCTGCTTGCTTGAACAACTGAACTGGCTCTGATAGAATGTTTAGGCTGGCCATGATTTTCCAGACACGGTCATCTCACTTAACCCATCATCTTCACTTCTTTTCGCAGCTGGAGAAGAAGTGACTGTCTACAGGCTTGAAGAGAGTTCCCCTTTGAACCTTGATAAAAGCATGTCTTCTTGGTCCCAGCGTGGGAGAGTGGCCATGATCCAGGTGTTGTCTCGAGAAGAGATGGATGGTGGCCTCCGCAAAGCCATGAAGGTCATCAGCACCTGGTCTGAGGATGATGTTCTCAAGCCGGGGCAGGTTTTCATTGTGAAGTCCTTTCTTCCGGAGGTTGTTCAGACGTGGCATAAAATCTTCCGGGAGAGTACTGTGCTCCATCTATGCCTTCGGGTAAGCCTGAAACTCAGAGCATTGGACCAGAGATAGGTAGGTCAGAGAAGAAGAGTTGACTTTCCTGATTAAGGCTTTTATCCTCACAGCAAAGGGCAGCCTATCATTTCTTAGACGTGCTGAGTTCTGTTATGTGTGTGTGTGTGTGTGTGTGTGTGAGACATTTGGTTTTTAGGGTGGAATATAGTGAGGACTGAAGAAGGCTGAAATCCTAGTTGGGAAACCATTAGTAATTTATGTTCATTAATTAGTAGACATTTGATAATAATATTTATTCATGAATTCTCCTGCAGGAAATCCAGCAACAAAGAGCAGCTCAAAAACTGATCTATACCTTCAACCAAGTGAAACCACAAGCGATTCCTTATATGCCAAGGTGAGAAAATTCTGGTGGCCGGCTCTTCTTTATTTTAAGTAGGAATTCCCATAAAACTTTTTTCAGCCTCATTATTATGCTGGTAGGTGTGGTAGAGCTGACTACATCTCACAGAGACTCCATGTATAAGAGATACAAACCTTGTGCGATCCTGTGTCTGCTTCACAGTCTCAGCCATATTCAAGCCCATTGTTGGATCAGAGCATCTCATTAGGGCCTTCCTTTTATAGAAAGAATATTTCAAGATGTGTCCTAGACTACAGTGCTGTCAGTGATAGGATAATATCCATACACATAGTTGGAGGACCTGTTAATACAAGTGTTATTCACATATATGCATCAACTGCTAAAGCTAAAGCTAAAGGAACTGAGGACTTCTCCTGACTTCCACAATCTGAAATGGTTTGAACAGGCAATTAAGGTGCACTCGTAATAATTGGTGGCTGGAATATAAAAATTGGAAACAAGGACTGATATTTGGAAAATACGGCTTTGATTAACAGAAATGAGGCCAGAAATCACTTAATAGAATTTTGTACAATTGATAATTTTTTTCATTCTAAATACCTTTTTTAGAAAGCATACATGTGACCTGCCAGCCTGATTAAATCATGAGACATACCTAGATTCACAAGGCAGTCAGTTCTTAGTGACTTTATTTTGTGTTATTCCTTTTTTAACTCTGGAGTATTATAGGGAACTAGATGTACCAGGAATACCTTGCCTAAATTAAATGAACTTACATGAGTGAAAAAGAGACATTCTGGGAGAGGCCATGGTTAACATTCAGTTATACTAGACAAATAGATCCTAGGTGTACTTACTAGATCCTAGGTGTAATATCCAGGAATATAATAGAAAAAAATTTCCATTTTAACCATAGTTTCTTCTCCAGTACTTTTTAGAAAATAGAAGTTATATAAGATTGAACTCTATTTCAACTTGACTGTTACAGTTCTATAAATTTACCAAGATGTTATATCTTGGTGCTGAGGACTTGCAGTAAGGTTTCCTTTTTTAGTTTATAAAGGAAGGAACTTTATAAAGCATGGCAAGAAAAGTTGTATCAGGTACCCATGGGAGAGTTGGTAAATTTCCTCAGAGAAAGGAAGGAGATAAGGATCTGAGAAACCCCTTCTAATCCTTTTCTTCTGTCTCTTTCCTAGAAAGGGTTAGTGCACATGCGTCCCAGCTACATCAGACTAGAGTTAGGTAACATTGCTTGCTCTTAACTGTTGGGTACTCGAAGTTAAACTTTTGATGCTTTGTGAGAATCAGTGGTCTCTTTTCCTTATCATAGATTCCTGGAAGTTTTCTTAATCTACTGCCATTCTGCTGACCAGTGGTTGACCATTGAAAAGTATATGACAGGAGAATTCCGCAAGTATAACAACAACAATGGTGATGAAATTGTCCCCAGCAATACTTTGGAAGAACTTATGTTGGCTTTCTCTCACTGGACCTATGAGTACACCCGAGGAGAGCTGCTGGTTTTAGATTTGCAAGGTAACTGTTGACATAGAACTTGGTGCAGCCAGCAGAAGGCAAAAAATAAAAGAAACATTAACTGGGAGAGGATTTCTTGATGCCATTGCCATATACATTTGGCCTCACAAAGCATGCTCATTCTTTCTTTACTCAGTATCATCTTTAAATGATTTCCTTTAGGAGAAACAGATTTGACAGTACGTATATTTGGCTTTATTATTTTTTTAATAGTAACCTTATTTATTTTTCCATTTTCTTTTTTAATTGTGATTTTTGTGAAATTTTACATATTGGTTTTCATTCATACAAAATTTCCTCCATATTCCTCCTCTAATTCACTTTGTGTTACTTGTCCTATTCTAGACTATTGTCATACTTATAATATCTAATTGTTCATTCCTTTCAAATTGTCCTTCCCTGCACCTATTCCAGTACAGTGTTCATTGTCTATTTTTTCTCTGCTCTCTCCATCCCCTACCATCCTATTGTTATAACAGTAGTCTTATGCACTGTTCTTGTTCTGTGAATGATATCTTTCACTTAGTATAATGTTTTCTAGACTCATCCATGCAGTATAGTGTTTTACTGGTTCTTTGTTTATAGTGATGTATAATATTCCATTGTGTAGATGTACCATGGTTTCTCTATCCACTAATTTCTTATGAGCACTTGGGCTACTTCCACTCCTTTGCTATTGTAAATAATAATGCAATAAACATGGCGGTGCATATGTCAGTTTGTGCCACAGCTCTGATTTCTTTGGGGTATATTCTTTGTAGTGTGATAGCTGAGTCAAATGATTTATCTGTTTTCAACATTTTGAGGAAACACCAGATTGCCTTCCACAGTGGTTGTACCATTTTACGTTTCCATCAGCAGTGTTGAGAGTTCTCATCTCTCTGCATCCACACCACCGTTTGTTGTTTGCTGTCCTATTGTTGCTGCATTGAGATGATATTTCACTGTTGTTTTGATTTCCATCTCTCTAATAGCTAGTGATTTTGAGCATGTTTTCATGTGTTTGTTGGCCATCTGACATTTTTCCTTGGTGAAGCATCTGTTCATATCTTCTGCTAATTTTGTGACCGAGTAATTGTCTTTTTCTTGTTGATGCGTTAGAGTATTCTATAAGCTTTAGTTATGAGTCCCTTATCAGATATAACAACATTGCCAAATATTTTTTCCCAGTCTGTGACCTTCCTTTTCATTATATTGGAGATGTTTTTGATGCACAAAAAAATTAAATTTTTGTTTATTTTTTAAACATTTTTTAATATTTTAATGAAAGTTTACAGAAAACTTGGTTTTCCATTCATTCATTCCATTCCCATATTGCTCCCTGCCCCTTCCCAATTTGCTTTTCTCTTTAAGAACATTCTTACACTGTTCCACAATTTCCTCCTACCCTCCCCCCTCACCCTCCAGTCCGCCTTTCTATGTGCCTCTCATTCTGGACTATTGTCATGCAAATAATATTATATAATATTTAGAAAATCCCATGCATCTATTTTATCCTTTTCTGGTTGTGAGGTTTTGGTTATGCTTGATAGTCTATTCATGCCATAGATTAGGGCTTCTAGATTTGTTTCTATTTCTTCTCTGACGATCATTATCATTTTGGATTTTACCCTAATTTCTCTGATCTACCCTGAGTTGTGTACTATCTCCATACCTTTTCAACCTGTATTCAGAGCAGATTATCTGAGAGGCTGGGCTCTATGAGGAGAAGCGTGGTGTTAGGATTGGTGGAAGATCTATTAACAGTCTACGTTATGCAGATGACACAACCCTGCTTGCTGAAACTGAGGAGGACCTCATGCACTTGCTGCAGAGGGTCAAGGACTGCAGCCTTCAGTATGGACTGAGGCTCAATGTCAAGAAGACAAAAATTCTCACCACTGAACCAATTGGTAGCATCAGGATGGATGGCGAAGAGACTGAGATTGTTCACAGCTTCAGTTTTCTCAGCTCCGCGGTCAACACTCTTGGCACCAGCAGCCAGGAAATAAAAAAAAAATGTATTGCGATGAGAAAGTGTGCTGTTAGGGACCTCTCTAAAGTACTCAAGAGCAGTAGTCTCTCTGGAGACTAAGGTGCGCCTGATACAGGCCATGGTCTTTGCAATCACTTGTTAAGCTTCAGAGAGTTGGACAATGACTAGAGAGGACAGAAGGAAAATTGATGCCTTTGAGCTGTGGTGCTGGAGAAGAGTATTGAATGTACCATGGACTGCCAAGAAAACAAACAGATTCATCCTGGAGAGGGTTAAACCAGGCTATTCCTTGGAGTCAAGGATTCTGGGGCTTCGTCTGACATACTTTGGACATGTGGTAAGGAGAGACAGGTGCTTGGAGAGGGGGACATCATGCTTGGTAGGGTGGAGGGACAGCGCAGGAGGGGAAGACCCTCTATGAGGTGGATTGATTCAGTGATTGGGGTAATTGGGATGGGTGTGTCAGAGGCAATGCGATTGGCACAGGATAGAGCAGGGTTTAGGGCTGTTGTACATAGGGTCACTATGAGTCACAAACGACTCAATGGCACATAACAGCAACAACAACAACAACCCTGAGTTGACATCATTGCTCTTTAGTACTTTAGAAAGATCCCTCACTGTAGATTTATCCAATGTCTTTTATTTCTTGATTGCTGTACCCTAGGGTGTTGAGAGTGGATCAAAAGAAGGTGAAATAGTTGACAATTCCAATCTTCCCTCCATCTATCATGATATGGCCTATTAGTCCCATAGTGAGAATTTTTTGTCTTCTTGACGTTGAAATTGAATCCATTTTGATCTTCTGTAGCAATCACTTCAAGTCCATTCCATGAGGTAATTGTACAAAAATTATGGAAATTTCTTAACCATAAACAAATATATTGTGCGAATGAGTTTCAGGGTAAAGGATATCTTAGAACCATAGTCTAGGGGAAGACATCAAGGTTGGCAAAACATAGTCTATAAACATAGTGTTCTGTATTGGTCTTTGTTATGTAGTAACTGAGGTCTGTAAAGCTTGATATTAGCCATGTAAGGTACAATTATTGACTTCTTCCTGTTTGGAGCAAATGAGAATGAAGAAAAAGATTATTAGTCTTAATGACTAAAGGACCTCAAGGACTTCACACTCCACAATGCTGAGACCAAAATTACTAGATGGTGCCCAGCTGACTGCTTAAAAATAAATCATAATAGAATGTCCTTGATAGCGTGGGGGGAAAATGTGGACAAAAATGAAACAAACAAATAAAAAACCAAAAAAACCAACCACAAAACAAACCAAACACATAAAAACCCAGGCTTTCTTTTATGGTGGAGACTATGGTGGAGGCTAGTAGACCCATGAAACTATGGTCCCTTAGTCTTCAATTCTGGAACTGAAATCACCTCCATGGCTTAACTTTCAGTTAACTAGTTGATAAACTGATACGGTGCTTAATCACAGTGAGAGGATTGCAGTACATAGAACAATCAACTATGTACTATCAGTAGGTGAATGACCCAGGAGCCTCCAAAGAAGATTAAAGAAATACATAGAATCACTGTACCAAAAAGAATTGAGTGACACTGAAGAACTTCAGGTAGTTACATATGAACAAGAGCCAATTGAACCAAAGGAAGATGCTCAAGCTGCATTTAAGACCCTAGGTGGGTGAGAGAGACCCCACAAAGTCACGAGATGCTGATTGACATGGTCAGCTAACAGATGCCATCTAGATATGCTCACCAGTCCATGCTAGGAAATTTGGAGGTTAGCTGCCTTGCCAACTGACTGGAAAAGACCAATATTTGTTTCCATTAACAAGAAAGGTTATCCAACAGAATGTGGAAATCATCAAACAATATCATTAATATTGTATACAAGCAACATATTGGTGAATATCATCTAATAATTACTGGAACAGGACATTGAGAGAACTGCCAGAAGTTCAAGTAGGATTTAGAAGAGGCTATGGCACCATTGCTGATGTCAGATGGATCCTGGCTGAAAGCAGAGAATACCAGAAGAATGTCTATCTGTGTTTTATTGACTATGCAAAGGTATTTGGTTGTGTGGACCATGACAAACCATAGATAATATTGAGTGGGAATCCCAGAACACTTATTTGTGTTCACAAAAAGTCTATATCAGGGAGCTCTGGTGGCCTAGTGGCAAGAATCTGCACTGCAATCCTAGATGTGTGTGGTTCAAACCCACCAGATGCTCTGCTGGAGAAGGAGGGGCAATCTCCTCCTGTACCAGTCAGATCCAGTTTGATGGTACACACAAAAAAATAATAAAATAAAATTTTTTTAAAAGTCTGTATCTAGGCCAAGAAGTTGTTGTCCAAACAGAACAGGGGACTACTACATGGTTTAAAATCAGGAAGAGTATGTGTTAGGGTTGTATCCTTTTTTCCTTACCTATTCAGTCTGTATGCTGAGCAAATAATATATGAAGTCTGACTTTTTGAAGAAGAATGTGGCGTCAGGATCAAAGTAAGACTAATTAACAACCTGTATTATGCGGATAACACAACCTTGCTTGCTGAAAGTGAGGAGGATCTGAAATGCTTGCTGCAGAAAATCAAAGACTATAGCCTTCAGTATGGATTACATCCCAAATCAAGAAAACAAAGGCCCTTTCCACTGGGCAAATAGGCAGTATCATATTAGGTAGAGAAAGGATTGAAACTGCCAATTATTTCATCTTACTTAGATCCACAATTAGTGCCCTTAGTACCAGCAGTCAGGAAATCAGGAAATGCATTGATTTATGCAAGACCACTGTCAAGGACCTCTCCAGAATACTAAAGAGCAATGATGTCAGTTTAAAGACTAAGGTGCACTTGATTAGGCCATGGTCTTTTCAGTCCTTGCTATACATCTGAGAGCTGGGCAGTGAATAAAGATGACAGATGAAGAATTTGCCTTTGAGTTGTGGTTTTTGAGAAGAGTACTGAATACTCAATGAACTGCCAAAAGTATGAACAGATATTTCTTGGCAAAAGTGCAGCCAGCGAGAGTGCTCCTTGGAAGT